TGCTTTCACCAAGTAAATAATGTCTTGAATATGTAAACAATTAGATAGTTTATCGTGTATCTTAATTGGACAGGACACGCACCTGTTTGGCATCAATTTACGTTCTGAAATACCCAAAAGAATATTTCAAAACCACCAAAATTATATTCAGTATTGAACATATATTTGTTCATTATTATGTTATTATTTCTCTTGATCTCGTCTCAGAATTACACAATAAAAGATGCGAAGAAAGCACTATTGGTATAGGTGAGGTGAGGTGAGGTGAGGTGAGGTGAGGTGAAATGGGGTTTAACGTCGCATCCAAAATGCATGCACGTGTGTGTGTTTGTGTGGCTGCTTGTACTAGTCCGGACTGATGCCGATTTATAGTGCTAGCTCACTGAGATACCATGCCGCAGTTTAACATGAATACCCCACTCAGACACAGTATACTGACTCCGAGCCGACCAGTCCTTGTTTTAGCCCCTTAATGCCGAGCGCCAGACAGGGTAACAACAAGTACCATCTTTTAAGGTCTTTTGGTATGACGCGGTCGGGGATCGAACCCCGGACCTTCCGCTCTCCGGGCGGGCGGTCTATTGGTATAGAATTATCAGGATAATCGTATAAGGTTGAACCAACGGGGCTGGCATGGGTTTTATTTTATACATTTTAAAATTCCGTGAGATATTAAGTAAACAGTTTAATATCCCGTGATCACAATATTGAAAAAGGTGAGGTGAGGTGAAATGGGGTTTAACGTCGCGTCCAAGATTATTGCACTTATATAGCGACGTGCATGCACGTGTTTGTGTGTGTGTGGCTGCTTGTACTAGTCCGGACTGATGCCGATTTATAGTGCTAGCTCACTGAGATACCATGCCGCAGTTTAACATGAATACCCCACTCAGACACAGTATACTGACTCCGAGCCGACCAGTCCTTGTTTTAGCCCCTTAATGCCGAGCGCCAGGCAGGGTAACAACAAGTACAATCTTTTAACGTCTTTTTGTATGACGCGGCCCGGGATCGAACCCTGGACCTTCCGCTCTCCGGGCGGACGCTCTACCACAAGACCACGGAGGCGGTCTTATTGAAAAAGAAATGAACCCATTGATTATATAATGCAAAACGAGAGGAATAATTCGTAAAATTGTGTGTGACTAACGCGCACCTGGCGAATCGTTAGATATCACTGTTCTGTGTATCAAACGACATCAAAAACAGTTCCAAGACCAAGACAATTCTTTCAGAAATGTGTGCATATATTTTACCCAACACATATTATCCATTTTGTGAAAGTAATATATTCAGTTTTTGTTATAAAATAAAATGAAACGGCTATTCATGGACATTGCTAATATGAACTTATAATAATGACTATTACACATCCCAAGAAATGCGTACATGCTGCAGTTACATTTACACTTCTTGTAACACTTGTCCAAAGGAAAGAAATATCGTATGCGACACTAAAAACCTATCAATTGTTATTTAAACAATGTTCAAACAAACAGGAGATTATCAAAGGTTCCTTCATACATGTTAATGGCCGTTTTTTACGTATATCATTTTTTATCATATAATGGGTAGGTTTCTCGGCAGGATAAAGCCAACGGATAAAAACGATATCCGTTGGGGTCATATGCGGATAGAGATGCAAATATCAAAGGTCAAGTAGGACTACTTTCACTGTTTATAAACAAACATGGCGTCGCCCTCGTCATTCGGCGATCGAGTCAGAATTAACCATCGGGAATCTGGATAAACTACAGGGATAATTGCTATCATTATCAAAAGAACAGTCTAATATACTGAAAATCAGTGTCTAACTGTGACGTAGATAAGGCAATTTATAAGTTTTGGCAACTTTGGAGATATAAATTTCGAAACAATTTTGCGAGGGCACGAGGCCTAGCCAAGTGGGACCAGTAGCCATATCTGTGCTTGTTGACCTCTGTTGCTTGAAACCTTCTCCACAAATTAAAATAGTTGGATTTGGCCGAAATAAGTTTGATTTGTCATCTTGTTTCGTTTTGTCGCTGTGTGTACATCTGACTACACTTCTTAACGTTACAACAGGACAGACCGACTGTCAACGTCTGGCCAACGTCTCATAGACTAGGGTTAGAGTAGCTTCCCTTTGACAAAGGGCAGTTACTCTAGCGGACAGACCGATGGATTGCCGCGAAAGGCAATTAAAAACAACTGTTGTTTTGCGTATATGTTGCTTCGCCACTGTATAAGAAACAGATTTCAGTTGGAACTATATCGGCTCAGTCACTGTCCGACTGACACATCACCTACCCTGTGACGTAATAAATATTAATGCGCGCATTCAAGGAAAACTCGCAATGTTTTGGTAATGTTTGTAAGAGAGGGAAAGCGATTTTCAAGCACAGAATTAAAGAATGACATTATATGATAAAGAGGTTATCACGCTTGTGTGTTTTGGGATGGGAAATATCCTGTATTAGGAATAAACACTATGTATTTAGCTCACCAAGGCTCGCCAAATACAATGTTTATTCCTAATGCAAGATATTTACCATCCCCAAACACACTAGCGTGATAACCTCTATATATCGCTGCAATGAAATTGCATCACAATGCATTGCAGACCATTGTGACGTCACAATGAAATGACATCATTAATGGCTTTGATACTGGAGCTGATAGCAGTAATTTTAACACTGCTTATTACTGTCTTCAAACTGAAAAATTTAGAAGAATGATGTTGGATGATAAATAGAATCTCACCCTTGTGTCTTTTGATATCAAATATATCAACACTTGTCGACTGGTGTAGATGTATTTATCAAAATATACATGGGTGAGATTCTCCATCTACTGTTCAGTAATGTAGCGATGCATGTGGAACATTGCTGAGATAAGGTATAAGCAGGTATGTAGTTGAAACCCTGTAGGAAACCATATTCGTTCGCGTTTTGGCAAAAGTCCTGCAAACCTGTAAAAGCTCGTTCATGATGTTTGACGTGGTATTATGTATATTTCAAGAAGCACAAAGGCAGGCTATGATTTATATACTTTCTGATCTTGCTAGGTAATAAACTTTGAATAGGCAGATTAATTCCATAAGAAACATTTGCGATACTGATATTTCATCCTTCAAAATTATCAATTAAAAATTAAGTCTGTCGGGAGTCCAGGACATATTTTTTCATTATTTAATGATATGTGGTTCAACATTTTTACCACCCACAATATAATCTAGATTTGAGGTGTTTTGTATGTGGTTTATGTTTTAAGAAGAAGCCATGGGCTTTCAGAAAGCCAAATGGGGTGTCATCATTGGTGGGAATAGAAAGGTGAAGTTTTAGTTTCATCAGTCCTGTTTCTTTAACGCTTTTTACAGACACGCTCACTGGAATAAAAAATTATGACTCCCAAATTATGCTATTGCTTACAGTTTCGAGACACATGATGCAAGAAAAATGTCTTAAGTAATGCTATCAAAATGATACTTTCTTCGTACATAAAATGTTATTGTTAAATCATCAATATAAAGAATTGACTACCCGGAGACCTAAAAACGTGTACATATCTACAACTGCGGTCAGTCCTCGCTGACCGCCTGCGCCAGTTAATATTCGAGGTAGGTCACACACTAAATGCAGCCCTGAATCACACATACTTTCAGGTTTAACTGTTTGTGGATCTGTCTATGCATTACCACAAACAAGATGTAATTTGTGAAATGTTGGTGTCAGATATGCCGCTTGCACTGTGCTGTCAAGCTTGGAACTGGTTTGCCGAGGTCATCGGATGAATGAATCGAAAGCAGCATCAGAAGGAAAAAGACTGCTTTTTAACCAATCTAATTACTCGCAAGCGTTATGGCACACGTTCCATGAACGTTTGATACTAGTTTAGGTAGGATAATGTGGGTGATAAAAGTTGAACATAAACGTATTTTAAATGCCATCAACCATCATCTTGTCAGCATGTGTGTACAGTCATAGAACCAGCATTGCAGTACAGACCCTAAGTATTCCAATTGAGAGGAAATATTAATATCTTAACATTCCAATGGCCAATTCCGAAGTCAACTTAGAAGGCAAATATGAAAAATGGGACAGCCATGTTGTTGTGAATATCAATTCCTAGATAAATGAAGCCATTGTTTAGTAATTTCTCTCTCCCCGAAATTGACTTAATGCGTCAAGGAAAATTGATACGTGCAACAAAATCTCAATTGTTTTCACTATACTTGCCCTCAAAGATGGTACTTCCTATATTCAATGCATCAGAGAATGACAGTTAGCGGTAAAACCATGTACAAAGCTGTCAACACTGCATGCCATATACACATCAAACGCCTTAATTCAATAACTGAAATGCTGCTGGAAGTATATTTTCTATTATTTTTTTTTTATCAGGAAACAGCTTTCTTTTTACAGAGGAATATTTTGCAATTACTGGGAGGATATTCAACAGACTTCAACACACCAGGGATTGTTCTCAGCCATGTGTAACTGTTGGCCCATTAAAGGGTTCCCCATAAACACATTTCACATCTCCCAATTTGTCAAACTCGGGCAGTCATTCTTCTGATCGAATTATGTCTCCCCTACCCCCTCCCAACTTTCCTTTCCTATTTTGCAGACTTATACAGCAATAAAACTTGTTATGATCAACTTGATATATATATATATTCATCCTTGAAACGAAACTTCCATAATAAAACAAATACTCATTTAAAGACATAATAATATAGATGAACTACATACAATATTGCAAATATGCATGCACTGCCTTTGTGCAGTTTCAAACAATTATATGTTAATGACATTAAGTAGATGTATCATGTACACATACATATTTGTCCAAAAGCAGTCACTGAAGAACAAGGCAGTTTCGAGTTTACTTTGTATAAAGAGAAAAGAATTTCAACTATTGTCAAGAAAATAATGCACTTATTTCCAAGAGGAAGTCATCAGAAAGAAATCTACACCGAACTCCTGTCTTAACTTAACACAAATGACAAACTCTCAGCAAAAAATCCTAGGAATTTTATTGAAAACGTGCAGCTGGACAGTTGATTTGTATCCGATTACATCAAGAATTGTTGGGAACTGGAAACCACCTCAGTTGGAATATACAATACATACAAGATTGGTCTCTCAACGGATGCCCACAGGAACACAGAAAAGTGAACTGGGCAGTCATGACAGGTCATTGATGACATACTGGCTGTCATCCTCTCAAAATGCCACTGCAAGTGAATATGTGATATTTTACAAGATGCCATCATGGAAATAGCAAATACCAGACTTGTATCTGACGAATGAAAGACAACCGGCATTCTGTGATGCTGAATTTACAAATCTGATTAGGTTCTTGTTTCATCACATCTCAACAAAATTTCAGTGGTATCAATCATTATTTGAGGTCAGTGACACAGCTAACAACCTAGTAGCTTCAAAAGGAATATCATTGGAATTCTACATACCAGTGTTGTTCTTAACCTTTTCAAAATGCTGAAGGTGTTTAGTATTGTGATGAGCGAAACCAAAAGGGCAACCAGTCAAACATTTCAGAGGCCAAGTTTCTTTGGTTAAGTATCTGCAGGCTGATCTACATGAGCAACTGATGTAAAATGAACATATTATGACATATTAAATTCATAATGTTTTTACCAACAATAAATGTAATAAATAGTTGATTTACACACTGCAAACAAATCAATCTAATGAAATGGATTGATGATGATCGACGTGGCAATATGAACTTATCTTCCTCTTATCACTGAAACCTGTCTTGCATGACTACTGAGAAAGTATCTGTGATGGTACGTTTCCTCATAGGATCTGTATGCAAAACCTTATTCATCAATGAAGTTCAACCATCCTATAACAGCAACCTTAAAATATATTTCCCCTATGTCCCTTCAGTCCTATGTAATACTTCGAATAGGAGTTTTATGGCCATGAGTAACTGACGACTATGGAGTGGATGGGGTTAGGGATACATGAGGGGTGGATTCAGTCAAGCAACAAGAAGGAATGTTCTTTTCCCCTGCCCTTTGAAACAGCTTGGCACACAGTAACAGAGGCAGCAGTGGCGAGCAGGGAAAGAAGATTACTGGGCACAGAAAAACAAAGCATGGAGATGATATTTACCTGCACATACTTTGCATAGTGTTACAATCAAACAAACATTCTATGTCAATTCACATTTGGGGACCAAAAAAGGGAAAAAAAGAAAAAAAATAAGAAAAAAAAATATATATATATTAAAAAACAGTTTCTTTTTAAACAGTATGAAAATAACACTGATCTTTCATAATTTTCATGTTTTAATCCATTTTTACAACAAATGTACATGAGTGGATCTTGAAGTTGTTACAGCTAAATGGAACTGCCACAGACAAAATCAGGAGTCTTTTTTTTGTTTGTATTTTATGCAGCATGTAACAATGACACAGTTCACATATAAAGATGAGAAAATATGCAATTCTGCCTTCACTCACATCACTCCTTGTATCACTGAGCAACACCAGTATTCAGAAGCACCAATGCAAACCAATTGAGACCCGTTCTGCGCACGTCTTATATTACTTTTACTGTACATTTTTTTTAAAATTGGTTTCATTGGTTCTATCGTTCATCTCAAGGAATGATGCACTGACAAGGGAAAGGAGGGTTTCTTTATATCACTGAAAGTCCATTCCACTCCACTGCCCCATTCTTAGATATTTTTTAGGACAAAATAATAATAATAATCACAAAGCATTCTTAAATAGAGGGTGCACTTTGTTTTGAACTTAACAATGGTTCAAAAACAAAGCACAATCAAACAACCATTCAGCTTTACTGACTGCACCAGAAGGGACCATTTTAAAGACAGCTTCAAATTTGATATGCCTGTCTACTTCAGCTCAGAATTGCATACTTTCAGAAGTTTAAGCACCATGGACCATCATCATCAGCGTCGTCCTCCACCCATTGGAAGGCCGCCCCTTGTATTTGCAAACCCTCCTCTATTGTCTCCTCGTCCCATTCCACCGCCTCCAGACCTCATGTTACCACGCCCTGGGGCGCCAAAACCACTTGACCCCCGCCCCATTCCTCCACCACGGGCACTTCCACCACGTCCTCCTCCTCCTCCCATTCGGCCACCATCTCCTCTAGGCTTCTTTTCTTCAACATTTAATCTGTGTTCACCATTGTATTTAATGGGCTGGGTTTGCTGGAAGAAAAGGGAATTCAATTCTGTGTGTATAGACATGATTCATGGTTAATAATAATGATGATGATAATAATCCTGCTTGTTTTCACAATATTGGTTTTTTGGTGTGTTTTTTCAATTTCAACTTCATTGGCCAATTGGTTTCTTGTTGAGATGTTCACAAAGCAATGGGAGTATTTAGGAGCATGGTTAAAGCACAAAGTTGAATAAAGGTTGTAATTTAAGATATTGTGAAAAATAATGTTTTCAGAGTCTAGTGTGCATTTGGAGAAAATTTGAGCATGGTCAAAATGGAGTGCAAAGATGGTTGGTTGTTTTATGCCGCACTCAGCAATATTTCAGCTATATGATGGCAGTCTGTAAATAATCGAGTCTGGTCCAGACATACCAGTGATTGATATCATAATTGGTTGGTTTGGTTGGTTTGTTGTTTAATGCTGCATTCAGCAATATTCCAGCTATATGACGGCGGTCTGTAAATTATCCAGTCTGGACCAGACAATCCAGTGATTAATATCATGAACATCAATCCATGCAATTGGGATTGATGACATGCATCAACCAAGTCAGCGAGCCGATCCCGTTAGTCGCCTTTTACGACAAGCATAGTCGCCTTTTATGGCAAGCATGGGTTGCTGAAGACCTATTCTACCCCGGAATCTTCACGGGTCTGATATCATGAGCATCGATCCACACAATTGGGATCATTGACATGCTTCCACCAAGTCAGCGAGCCTGACCACCCGATCCCGTATGTGGCTACTTACAACAAACAGTGTCTTTTATGGCAAGCATGGGTTGCTGAAGACCTATTCTACCCCATATCTTCTAATCAAGGTCAAAGTTATATAAATACATTAAAAATTGGAAACTGTATCTTTTGCCACACATGGTACACATATGCCGAATTTGACTTCATTATCTGCAGAAATTGCTTTCAATAGCCCCTAGTGGCTTTTCAATATGGCTGCCATATCGAGACTGGATCAAAATTTCTCAAACAAGTTTTGATATCATCAGTGTGGCCAAGTTACAACTTCAATGTTATAGTGGTTGTTGTTGACAGACGGTGCAAGGCAGGCAAACATGACATGACATCAGCTTATTTGTCTCGATAAAAAGTATAGATTGCAAAGTACAACTAATATAACACATACCTTAATTCTCAATATGTCCTGTACAGGCTGAGGACTGTCAAACACCACAAAACCAAAATTCTGCAAATAAAAAACAACATTTTTCATTGTAATTCTCAATTTTTTAAATACAACAAGCGTATAGTTGACAAAGTCATCTATATCCCCCACCAATTTTAACACGTTATGGTCCCAAACCAGGTAAATGACCCAACATTTCTCTTAGCCCATGTCAAAATAGCTGCAATGGAAATTCTAAAATATACATTTCTAAAACTCCTTAATATCAAATAGCACTAGTTCAGTATGCGCTTTATATATAGACATGCAATGTTTGGCAAGGAAATATTTAAGTTTATTTGTTATACTCCTTAAGTAAACCAATCCTATATTAAAACTTAAATCCAACTTGTTGTCATGGAAACAAACAATAAAAATTTCTAAAATTCCTAAAAAGCAAGAGGCACCAGTCCAGTATGTGTCTGGTAAACATGCAAAGTTTTTGTTGGAAAGTATTGAATGGGTTTTGAGTTATGCTCTACCCTATAGAACCTAAGTCTAACTTGTTGCCATGGAAACATAAATTTTTATTTTTTTTATAAAATTCCTAAATAGTAAGAGGCACTAGTTCAGTATGTGCCTAGTAGACATGCAAAGTTTTGTAAGAAAGTATTTAACAGTTTTTGAGTTATGCTCCGGAAACAAACACCACCCTTATAGAACCTAAGTCCAACTTGTTGCCATGGAAACGTAAAAAATAAAAATTTATAAAATTCCTTAATAGCAAAAGGCACCAGTTCAGCATGAGTCTGATAGACATGCAAAGTTTTGTAGAGAAATATTTAACGGTTTCTGAGTTTTGCTCCGGAAACGATTTCGGGACCCACACGCACACGCACGCACGCACGCACGCACACACGCACACACGCACACGCACATGCACGCACACACAGACGGAACCCATTTCTATATCCCCCGCCAACTTCGTTGGGGCGGGGGATAATAAAGTATGTATCACCAAGCTCAATGCAAACTTTCACAAAGAAATGCCAGCTTTTTACAAAATTCCAAGTACATAGTCATTGCTAATGAGCAAATGTTTTGTTAAACCAAATTACAGTGATCCCTCGCTACAACGCTACCTTCAGGGTCCAAATAATTGATGAGCATTATAGATGATCAGATGTCTACCCGAAGTCGAGTCGTGGGTAGTAGATGACCAACAAAATAGTTCTGCCTACCTAACACCATCTATGTTGCCTGGTTCAGAGTTTTAAAAAAAGATTAGAAAAGAAGTTGTTTATGATTCATAGTTTAAAAAAAGATTTATCGAGTATTAATATGCGCTTTCCAAAAAAACACATTGTATCCCTTCAGCGAATTCAGGTGAATAAACAGGTATAACAAACTTGGTCAATAAAGTATGAAATTTGATATAAAACATCACGAGACATGATGATTTACCATTTAAAATGCATTTCCTGCTCTCCAAGGCATTGTTTTACATGCAGAGATTAAGAATACCGTGTGTATTTTCTCGTAAACTAAGCCGGAATTAGCAATCAGCTGTGCACACGTTTCCTCCCAGTGTTATCTACCGGTGATTCAGTTAAAACAGTACCCAATGATACAACTTCAAAGAATTCTGATGCAATGGTCGGAAGAAATTGTATCTCAAATTATAATATTATAAGAAATAAAATATCCTAATATTGTGTTATTTTAGTTGCAGCTTCCACTATATATACTTAATATTATAAGAACCATAAGCGTAGCACTCTGGTACAGGGGGTATGCAGGATATTTTTTTACGAATGGAACAATTTGACCAGTCACCGTAGGGACATGTATTTCGATTGAGAAAACGTTAAGTTGACATTTCATAGTCAAACTGACCCAAATGTCTTTTAGCGAGTCATGGTACGACATTTATGATATGTGTGTCCATTCTCTTGCAACTAAAGTTTGTTCCAAAGGCATCAATAGCGGTAATCTGACCATGGTTGATGTAAATAACGGTGACTTGTGCAACATACCGATCACTTCGCATACAATTTCACCGAAATTATTGTAAACATTATTATAATTATTGAATGAAATTTTGAATATAATTAAGATATATTGCAAACATTAGTCCAGAAAAACAATGAATCATTGTTTTATAACCAGATATTATAATAATAGGATTAAATTGCGTACTTCAATTCGGATTTGTTGACAGGTATTTCCGGTGTTACATGATCGCCGTGATCAGCTGATAATGTTTTCTGAGATGGGGAAAAAACATTGTTTTTTTGGAAAACTTGAGTTAATTAAAAATGTTAGTAAATTTTGGGAACCATGCTTTACCACGAGCTATAACCCGAGTTAACGTTATAATGAAGAGCACAATAGCGAGGGAACACTGTAGCATTGAGGGTCAAATACTAATTGAAACATGAGTAACTTAACTTCAATGTTTCTTAATCTGTTACAATAGATATAATATGTATAAGTGTTTACAACAGACAACAGTTAAATTTCCTTTTAAAACATCATATAAAGTTTTCTAAGACAGGTTTCTATACCAGCCACATAAAGAAACTGTGCACGGAGAAAATATATTCTGGATTGGAATACAACACAGCAAGAACAAAATGATGCAGACGCTGTAGCAGCTGAATGATCGGACCATAAGAAAATGTCAACGGGACCTGAACAACATCTGTTACGATGACGTCAGAAGATCAAAATGGAGTAGGGGGTCGAACGACAAAGTCACAAAGTCAAAAACGGGTATGACCACCCTGTGCCTGAATCACAGCAGTGCATCGGCGACGCATGGAATCCACCAAATGGGCATGGAAGGCCTGGGGAATGGCCTGCCATATCCTCCTCAAATCCTGTGCCAAGTCACGGACGTTATCTGGAGGATGTGCAAGACGACGCAGAAGGCGCTCCATTTCATCCCACACATGCTCTATTGGGGAGAGATCTGGAGAAATTGCAGGCCATGGCAGTAACATGACATTGTTATGGTGAAGGAAATCCATTGCGACCCTAGCCGTGTGAGGACGAGCGTTGTCCTGTTGAAATGTCAATTCCGGGCCATGACGTTGCAGGAAAGGAATGACCACAGGCCTCAGAATCTAATCTCTGTAGCCAACACCGGTGAGATTGCCCTGAACAACCACCAAAGGGGTTCGGTGCCATGCTGTTATCCCACCCCAAATCATCACAGAGCCACCTCCAAAGCGATTCCTCTCCGCAATACAGTTGCGTGCATAACGTTCTCCCAAACGCCGGTAGACACGTTGGCGCCCGTCACTGTGGGAAATGTTGAACCTCGAATCATCTGTAAAGACAACATTTCTCAACCATATTCGAGGTTGGCGTACATGATTTCGACACCATCTTAGACGGTTGACTCGATGACCGTGTGTCAGGATGGGACGTATGGCAGGGCGTCGTGGTCGAATCCCGTACTGACGTAAACGATTCCTGACAGTGTTGGGATGGATACGGCGCAGTCCAGGAATTGTCTGGGACGTCGTTACTGCCGTTTGGAACCTGTGTCGGAGATGTGTAACTCGAATCCATCTGTCCTGTCTTGGCGTCGTTACTCGGGGACGTCCTGAACGTGGGTGGTCGGCAACGTCATTTGTGTTCTGCTAACGCCTCACCAATGCCGATATCGTGTTACGATGGCATTGGAAATGTGTTGCCACCTGTTGTTGCCTCATTCCCGCTCGGATCATTCCAATGGCTTCATGACGCTGTGCAGCTGTCAATCTTGGCATGATTTGCTTGTGATATGCTTGTGTCTGCGCCTGAGAAGTTTTGAATTTTTGAATGACCACAGATCATGCTTTCCAAAGTGACAGCGAATTTTGAGTTGCACATGCTGTGTACAGCTGCACAGGATGCACGTGCAGTAACACATTGCACGTCCATAGGCCCCCATCAATGACGTCATATCGCATGGCACGTGCATGAGCGTTTGAATGTCTCCAATAATTGCTGTGTTCAAACCTATCTTTCATATATGGACGGTGTGCCCTTATATCTATATTTTCTCCGTGCACAGTTTCTTTACGTGGCTAGTATACATTCGGTTTTTATTTGTTCACATGGTTCTTTCAACTGTGCTTACCTTCAGAATTTACCTCGAACTTTTCAAAGATGTCACAATACTTTATGACAGAATTTTGAAATTTTGTTGCTTGAAACAAGTGAAACAATGCCCTGACACATCAGCCTTGCAACAGGTTTGCTGAGGTCAGTGATCTATCATATATGCATGCAATATCAACAAGCCCTGTGATGTTAAGGTTTTCAAAAATTGTTTTCAAAAAATAACCTAATGCCATTTTGACCTAATTCAAATCAATTTAGTACTATTAGTGGATATCTCCCTTTGCATTCCACACAACAGTACTTTGGTTACATGTATGAGTGAGGGAGTAGTGTTCAATGCCATGAAAGTGATGCATGTCTCAGACGTTTACAACTTTGGGGGAACCAACGAGCATGGGTATGGTGCCAACAAACCTGCAAGCACAAATGGGCCGAACAGAGATTCAAACTCACGACCAAAGGTTTCTGACGAATAGCAGCCACTTAGACGACTGGTCCACCCATGCCCCCGATGTATTCTATGAGATTGTGATGTAATTGTATGACGTATAAGGGCAGTTAAGCTTTAAGATAACAAGTGTGGGAGGGATGGTGTGTTCCAGAGGACTAAGACAATTGTGTACGAGTTTGTGTTTGTATGTTACTGTCAGATCATCTGTTGATTGAGAATAGAAGTGGAATTAATATACAGACTATTGTTTTCTGTGTTCCCGAGGTAACTTCTTCAGATGTTGACGGATACACACACACCAAATGATGGACAAGCAGACACTGACACAAGCACTTTCATCCAGGTGAGCAGATAATATCACAATGAAGGTACTCACCGGCAATTTTCCTCCACCACTCTTAGTGTTGATTCTCAGTTCCATTACTTTTCCATACTCTGAAAATGAAGACACAATAAAGGACTGACATTGTTTCAAATCTAAAGCTCATTACAAAGCTGTTACTCATAAACGATTGACTAGTTTACTGGCATTTGCATTATTTACAAAGCAACAAGAAATGTAGAAAATGTTAATCCTAACACATGCTGAAATGCTGAAGTACTTGGTACCTAATAATGGGTACAAATCATGATTATCTAAAGGCAAAGTACATTTGTTATTACCATGTGAAAATTATCAAATTATTTCCAATCTGGCTCCTTACTAAATTGCTTTTTCCACCTTATACTCCCAGTTACACACCATGACAAAGCGGGAATATTGTTGAGTTATTATACTCACACATTTGCAGATCTTACATATCTACCACCTGACCAATAAATAATCTTCACCCAATATATACACCACACATTATGGTGATGGTTTCAATCACAGCAACATTTGCAATGTTCACTTTTTCTATACTGACAGTGTTCAAGTTTTCCCACTAATTTTTATCAATGGCAAAATATTGATCATTCATGCAATATATATGCCTAGACCAGTAACACTAACAGCAAAGTAGGTGTGTTAAATAGAAATGATAAGAGAAGTGTTTTGTAGTGTGTATATCATGTCTTTGCATAAAAATTGTACAATTCACGACTCTGGCAAGTGCAATACACATCTATCACATAAAATATGTCATCCTTCAAGTAATGTATTTGAAAGCCATAAATTCACTTGCAGAGTGAGTGAGTGAGTATGGTTTTACGCCTCTTTAAGCACTATTCCAGCAATATCACAGCAGGAGACACCATGTGGGAAATCGAACCTGGGCATTTCTGTGCGACGAGCTAAAGCATAACCACTAGGCTACTCCACCGCCCCTTCACTCACAGAAGTAACTTAAGCAACACTAAATGAACTACAAACTCCCTGTTGGTGCATCTTAAAAGTAGTTGAAAGCTAGGTGACATTATTTGAACCATTTTTTCAATCTTGATACAAAGTCTGTTAGATCGCTTTATCGCATCGACAACAGTATCCATTTTGTAATCTTGCTTATTTAAGGCTAAAAAAAAATACACTCTTGGTTCTCAGGCACCGCCGCATCATCACAAAGTCCACCGCACATAAAAAATCCTTAAATATTCAGCATCTCAAACACACAACCTCAGCAGTGAAATGCTACAATACTTAAAAGCAACACAATCCAATATTAATTACTTCCCTTTACATGCACACTTGTGTACTGCCCATCTAGTGTTATATGTTATGGTCATGGCGGCAATAGTTGCATGCTTATTTACAAATTTGGTCAATGAAAACATGAATGTTTTTATAAACATCACTAGATATGATGATTTACAAATTCAATGGTATGGCGGACAATGTTTCACACGCAGAGAATAAGATTACATGTGTATTTGTCTTGTAAAATAAGCAGGTAATAGCGATCAGCTGTTTATACATTATCTTCCCGATCTATGGGTGATATAGTAAAAAAACCAAACCCACTTCATGTCATGGCCAATATCATAACTGAAAAGAAAATTGATAGAAAGACCGAAGACTTTGTAGTTTGTATCTCCAACGACTAATGTTCGTTTCAAGGCGAGTTCACCGTGAGTTGATGTGATTTGCCGACCAGATGATACATGTTTTCGCAAAAATTAATGGAAACAAAATTGAATGAAATCTTGGACAAAAGTAAAATAATGGATTACAAGGAAAGTCCAGATACACAATGAACACTTTTATAGCGTACTTTAGTACAGATTTTTTTACACGCTTTTCCCAGTGTTTTGTGCTCACTATAACGTTTTCGCAATGTGAAATAGAATCAAAGCTCATTGTATGCGTGTATTATGCATTTACTGGTAGTCCAATGGTAGAATATTGTATTTTACTCATAGAGGAATTCATTTATGTAGGGAAGACCCTTCCCAGGTTGATTGTACACAACTGTTTATTTGGTTACATACTTGTTTATACAACCAAACAAAAAGGGTTGCCCGCCTGCACTGTATTTTCAAAAGCCATTGAGAACCAATTCTTGTATTTTTTTTAAGCCTAAGTTAAAAAGTTTCTGCAAACTTATGTAATGCTAGGAACCTTCTCTAATAACAAACTTGAATATGCTTTATTTATCTATATACTATTACTATTGTTTCAATGAAGTGGCACCACATGTCAAACTGGAGGATTTACGTTTGTTGGGTAAACCAAACACAACAAGCATGAAATACTCACATCCCCCGCCAATATGACATGTTGGGTTGTGTGCAATGCATTAGCTCCTGTGAACTATGTTCACTGGGCCTTTTTGTAAATGGCCTAATTTGCAGCACTAAAAAAAGTTATTACTGGTGTTGTTTTGCCATCTGCAGTTTATGATAGAATATGTAACTGTATTTGGAATGAGTAAGGATGAGACAAATGGACAAACAACTTCTTTATTACAATTAGGATCGATGATTTCGGTGTAGGTTCTAACACAATTATCAAGCAAGTGAAGTACAGAGTATGGTTGACAAGAATATATACAGAGTAGGAGGCAGTGTTTATACAGTTGAGTAGGTTTAAGATCAGTTATACTGTTGTTTTTGTAATGAGTTGTGTTTCTGAATAAAGTTAGTCAATGAATGCAACAACTGTGTCCATGATACTTTTGGAGGAACATACACACCAGCAATGCAGAACTTACCAACAAGAATGGAAATGTATTCAATACTGCGAGATGACATTATGTGCCAAGTTTGGTGAAGAAATATGGTACGGTTTTCAAGATCTGTTCCAGAAACGAGGACTACCGCCATTTTCAGTCTAAATCAAAGTCGTTGCTATGGAAACTCAAAAAAAAATTTTTTTTTAAATCCCAAACTATCAAAAGGCACCTGTTCACCACTAGACCTATCTATGTGCCAAGTTTGGTGAAGAAATATGGTATGGTTTTCAAGATCTGCTCCGGAAACGAAATGTGACGGACGGACGGACGGACGGCACCCATTCCTATATCCCCCTTCCACTTCATGGCGGGGGATAATAATACAGTCGCATTTGATGGAAACAGACTTTTTTACGTTCATTTCCTATCACATGTAACATTAATTGCATAATTATTTGACAATGTAAACTTGACAATGTAAACTTGACAAGTATTTCTTTCAAGCATTTGCTTTCTTTCAATAATTCAGTGAAAATATTTAATAAACACAGTATTATAAAATCAACTAAGTGAACTGACTTGGCTGAAAATTATAAAGGCAAAGGATACATTCAAATGTTTGTCAATTAGATATGATAAACTGCTTTTAAATGACAGCTGGGAATGAATGGATGTTCTGTAGGTCAGAAAAGCAAACAGAAAACACTTAACGCCAGTCAGCGTGTAACAGTGGCCCACAAAAAAGGAAAAGAAATGTACACTATTACAGTAGAAACATCTTGTCAACCTGTCATAATACTATTGTTAATGGAAAGGTATTGCAATAGTGTGAACTACAGCATTGACTTGAAGGTAAAGAAGACTCTCTTGCCCCCAAGGTCAGCATTGCAGAGTGGGATACACATAACACATGCAGGTGAGTGTATATTCCCCCACCCCTCCCCACCCCAAAGCAATGACATTACAGCCAACACTCAACACCAGAAATAGCATTTGAACAAATCTGTACTGATTACACAAGCCAATCTTGTTATTACACAATCTGATTGTAAAAAACTTTGAATGTCTTTCTGACTTTAACTCCATCTCATTAATATTATTCAAAGTTTTTTTCAATATTGAATGCATAAAATTAATTTTGGTGAAATTATGTGTAAACTGATCGGCAGATTGCACCAATTTACAGCAACCATGAACAGAAACCATAGGACTATTATTAATGAGTCACTGCAAGGATTTGTCTTGGATACCAAGACAAATATGGCAGGAATATTGGGAAAATCATTGTATTTTTGCTTAGAAATTTGGATTTCTAAAAGTTCTTATCTTCCTTATTTTAACATTGTATTTCAACACTGCACTCAATACAATCATTTAAAATTAAGCATTCAAGCCTCTTCCTCTTTATTGGTCAAGTCACCTCGACCAAGCCTTCACAGTAGTTGGAACTACATAAACATGAAGTTTTTACTGACATTTGATGTTAATTTGGGGCAAAATATCAACCTCTGAGTAGGTCTAGATGAATATCTGCATTGCCCCAAAATAATCAAAGTACATCCTTAATGAAAAACAGTTATTTTTTGCTACAGGCAACGTTTTCACATATTAATAAAAGTCAATGCTGTTCGTTTCAAGATAATATCTTGACAACATGGTGTAAGATATTCATCGCAACTGCGATATATAATTGCTCATTTTAAAATACAAACAGCGTTCATTAAATATAAGATTTGTGACCACAACTTACGTTCAAAAAAACTTTTCAGTTCTTTTTCTGAAATGTTGTGTGGTAGGTTTCCAACAAAGAGCTGGTGACTATCTGGAAATCGAGAGCCCCTTCTTCCACTGATGCTGTCATTGTCCCCGTCGTCTCGACTCATGCTTGTCCTCTCTCCTCGCTGTTCATTTCCACGTTGTTCCCGGGCTTGTCTAAAAGAATCAGGCCCTTCATCATTGAAAGTCCTACAACCACAGACAGATTAACAATAGGAGAGACAGAGCAAGCCATGCTGTAACAGACTGATCTAAATGCATAGAAACAACAAACCACACAACATTAAAATGTATGACAACAAAATATACATTATGGTCTAAAAAAGAGTGATGTTGTTTGGGTTACCAAACTAACCCTAATTAAAAGTGCCAACTACTTTATCAGTGGTAGCTCACTGCTTGAAACAATTTTGTTGTCTGTTTCATGCAGCATGAAGTTACATACATGATAGTGGCTAACCAGTGTTTGAAATTATGAGCAATGTCTGGTTATGACAATACAAAAGATTTAATCAGCCTAAACTGTACAGCAGTTTTCTGAAGAAAACAAAACTAACAGAAAGAACCAACCAACCTATTCTAGTTTGAAATTAAATGTAAACAGAACCATAATCCTTTTTAGTAGGGCTGGGACCAGTCCAAATTTACTACCCGGGTACCCACCCCCTATTACCCTACCCTACCTGGGTACCCACTCCAGGTCTCAGGAGATGTCTCAAAATGTCCGATTGGGAATATTTTTAGCATAGCCCTGGCAAAACGTATTTAGATACATGTATTAAACAATCTGGTCATGCATACACTGAAGTTGACTTAAGTTATATCGTTATTCAACCATATGAAAAATCAGAAGGAATGAGTGCATAGTCAGAACGAAAAGCTAACATTAGTGACTTGTAGTGTAACCATAGAGTTCTAGATAATTTTAGTCATTAGACAATATATCACGTGACAAACCACTAGTCCGGGTAGTCCTATGGGTACCCGGGTCCTACTCTGTAGCCACCCGACCCTGGTACCCGAGTTACCCATCCTAGCCCTACTTTTTAGGCAATATCTTAAGAAGTCAGAAAATTTTGAATTCGACCAGGTGATTACACAAATAGACTAAATTTTAACACCTACCCATCCACATTAATGGAGTGAATAATGCAATGGTGTTTCACTGACAATAACATTCTCCAATCTGACATAGAATAACCTGTTTTTAGCTCAACAAAACTGTCAAGAATGGGAGCACCTTTAGAATACAGTACAACTTATCGTGAGGACGATCTCTGCCGAAGGTCACTTGTCCCAAAGACAAGCAACCATTTGTTGTGAGAAACTGTTGGACGCGAACTCGCGACCTTTGGATTGTTAGCTGGACAGCTAACCTACTGAGCTACGTCGAACATTGTAAAACTAAGTGCAAATTTAACTAGACATGCCTACAATGTTACAGAACTAAACGTAAGGATAATGTTGATAATTGTAAGGAACGAGGGAGGCATAAGCATGGCTAGTGACAATACAAGGGTGAGTTCACTTTTGAATCAGTACCGAATAAATATAGCAGGTGAAAGTGGCTTGTGTGAATGTTCCAGGATAGTTTCCAGTTGCCAAAATATTCAACACTTAACCATCTCACCCTGCTTTCTTGACGTTTTTGCGTGAAAAATATTAGGAGCTGTTATAGAATCTATAAATGCCACTAAACGGGTACTAAATTGGATCCAAGGGCTCAGGATAGAGTTCGGGTAATCTAATAACCTATAACCGAAATGAAACGGGACTGCGATATGCGTATCATCAACATGTCGACATCTTGTGAGTAGAGTGTCAGGGATATTCTCTAAAAGCTGGAGGAGGAGTTGATTTGACAAGCTTAGTACCTCTCTCACAATTAGGCAAATGAAGCTCCGTAAAACAGGGGCAGTAACTCTGTCAAAATTAGTCGAAATGAAACGGGACTGCGATATGCGTATCATCAACATGTCGACATCTTGTGTGTAGAGTTTCAGTGATATTCTCTGGAAACTGCAGGAGTTGATTTCACAAGCTTAGTACCCTCTGTGGGTGAGAGTGAATATTGCTTAACGCCGCATCAGCAATTTTCCAGCTATTCGCGGCGAAGTACCCTCTGTGGGACGGACAGACGGACGGACAGCGCCACGATATAATCCCCCTTCGGCCATTCTGGCCCGGCAGGGGATAAAAAGCAGGTCTTCATTTCCTCTACTGTCTCATACGACCTGCACAGGAAGTGGGGCTCCGTTTTTGGCAAGTTCATTATTTGCGTCGAGGGTTGGTTACCTGCTGGGCTACTACCAGAAGGCCAAAACTGTGCACGCCTTTGACCTCTTCAAGAGCAACATCGCGAAGGTAATGACGAGCAAAAACTGTGTCCGACCTCCAAACACATCCTTTGATGATTGTTTTTATAGAACAGTCACAATGTAACGCCATGGTAGAGGCCAACACCCTGATCTCGTGAGGATTATTCGCTCTCAATGGATCAAGTTTGGCAATCTCATAAGCCTGAAGGATGACTGCACATAACCATAGAAATATGGTATTGTCACTAACTTCGGTCATGGACATAGGAGAAATGAGTATGAATAACTTTCCTCGAACCACGCCTAGTTTTGGAGCGGGGGATGAAAGCTCGTAGAGCATGTTCACCCTCATCTTCAACTCCCACAATAGTAGAAATTGGAGGAATAGTGTAGGAACGATCTGGTTGGCCTGGTGGTTGATTTTTTGCTACAAAATCCAAGCACAACCCGAGATGTACCGCTCCATGCATACCATGCTCAAAACAGACCAGGGTGATGTCGATTGCATTTAACTCGCTCACCTGTGCCGCATTGGCTAACCCCAAGAGAAATATTATTTTCCTGGTGTGGTCATTAAAAGAGGATGTGTAGACGGGCTCGAAAAGGGGCCCTCGCAAACCTCGAAGGAATTTGGCCTTCAGATCCTCAAGCCTAGATGAGCATAATAGGGCCTGTATTTCCGAGACCTAGGTCCTTTTGCAATTCTCCGGAACGGCCAACACTGAGTTAAGGGCTACCAAACACTTAGTAATGATACTACCTTTCAAGTGTTTTTTGGTAAGATCCAACATTCGGGGGATGTGCTGAACTATGAATGTTAGTTCCGGCCGATCCACTCGATGAAGGAACCTCTGGCTGAAGTAAGGTGGACGCATCAGATGACGTTTGTTGACCACGAAGATATTGTGAATCAATCGCATCTTGTCTGGGTCCTTCTTGGGTACTAGAAAGATGTGAGAATAACTCTGGGTTGTGTAAAATCTCTATGTTGGATTTTAGTAGCAGATGTTGCTTCCTTGCTTACTTCCAATGGTGGAACTACCTCTATGTTCAGTTGGTAGCTGTAATGTAGTATGTTGAATATGAAATCATCCTTGTGAATGGTTCAGTTCTGCCAGAACAGGTTCTGACTGTCCAACACTTCAGTGTTTACCCCACTTCGCCTGCCCTGGAATTTACCACAGCAGGACTAATAGGAACCTTAAGTTTTATCTCTGCCACGCCCTCTTCCTTGAAAAGAATCCTGGACTTGACATTCTTTGGGAGAAGAGGGTCTAGGTTTGTAATTACCTGACCTGCCTACCCCCTGGGAAAAACTGAGAAACGTGCTTTAATGCCTTGAGCGAGGTCCCTAGCATAATTTAGCATACGTGTCCGCGATTTGTTCATTGAACAGTACGCTAGTTGACGTAGGAGCCTACGCTAAAATTCGGAATCCCAGTTAGAAAGCGCTAAATATCCAAGCCTGGTCAAATTTGAGCATGTGACCTAAGGCAGCCAATCAAATTACATCAGTGCGGGTTATAGCTAAAATGGCGGGTTATAGCTAAAATGGCACCTCGCCTCAAGCGAAAACGGCTACTATTGCCTGACAAAAACAGCACTTTATTTTTGTTCTACCTTGGTCAAAAAAATGAAATTAAACATGCAATTGGGATCGATAAAATGCATCAACCCAGTCAGCTAGCCTGACCACCCAATCCTGTTAGTTGCTTCTTAAGACAAGGATAGTCGCCTTTTAGGGCAAGGAAAGGTTGCTGATGACCTATTCTCCTACGGATCTTCAGGTATTTTGTAGAATGTGTAAACAGTTTAAGAATTATGGGTGCAAATGCTACACTTATTTGAGCCAAAGTCCAGTTTCTTGCCGAGGAAACATTCTGAAAAAATCCCAAACTGTCAAAAGGCACCAGGTCACAACTAGACCTAACTATGTGCCAAGTTTGGTGAAGTAATATTTTTCAAGACCTGCTCCAGAAACGAACATTACCACCATTTTCAGTCAAATCAAACTTGTTGCTATGGAAACTCAAAACATAACTTTTTCAGAAATCCCAAACTATCAAAGGGCACCAGTTTACCAATAGACCTTTCTATGTGCCAAGTGGGCTGCAGAGATATTGTACTGTTTTCAAAATCTAATCCAGGAACAAGCACAACCGCCATTTTCAGTCAAATCAAAGGTGTTGCCATGGAAACTCAGAAAATATATTTGTAAAATATCCCAAACTATCAAAAGGCACCAGTTCACCACTAGACCTGTTGGCTATATCCACCAGCACTGAATGCAAGGGGGATATTAATGACTGGATTTGCAGTGGGAATATTCCAATGTTGTAACAAGTGCATATGCGACGAAGTCATCTATATCCCCCGCCCATATGGTCCCAAACCAGGTAACTGACCCAACATTTCTCTTAGCCCATGTCAAAATAGCTGCAATGGAAATTCTAAAATAAACATTTCTAAAACTCCTTAATATCAAATGGCACCAGTTCAGTATGTGCTTTATTTGTTATACTCCATAAGTGAACCCACCCTGTATTAAAACTTAAATCCAACTTGTCATGGAAACGTAAAAAAATATAAATTTCTAAAATTCCTAAATAGCAAAAGACATCAGCATGAGTCGGATGCACATGCAAAGTTTCGTAGAAAAATATTTAACGGTTTCTGAGTTATGCTCCGGAAATGATTTCGGGACGCACACGCACGCAGGGAACCAGTTTGGGCGGGGGATAATGAAACTAATGATATTGTGCTATGAGGTCACAGCAATTCAACGTAGAAATTCATATCACATGTATGTTAGTGACCTGTGCTATGCATTGCATCAAACTGAAGGTCTTTGCAAACACCAAAGCAGCCAATTTGTCATTTCCTCAAAGCTTCGAAAGTCTTTAATACAATCATGTACTTTCAATTCAACAGCATTACTTCCAAACTTTCTGACACCTTCTTAAGATTCAACAATTGTCAAGTGTCTGGATTGGACAAGTATAAGTGAAACAATATCTGGCATTGAGTGACACAATCATGTTTCACAATAACCTTGACCTTTGGTAGACAAAGCACCAACATCAGATGCATACACAGTAGCCATAGATATAAACCATGTTTTACAAAAACCTGAACGCTTACTTTGACCACACAATACTTTGACCTTTGCCTCATTTTGACCAAGGCCTATTCAAAGCAGAGATCCATTATTGAGAAGGTACATGCCATGTTTTATGATTTATGATTTATGCATTAATGTCTTCGAGTCTTCCTACCCTATGACCTTGACCTTTCACATTATCAGTGCATGTGCCAAAAGAATTCCCTAGCTCCATGTGGTGTACGCCCATAGAAGGATATTCTTTAATTTCCTTTGCATCCTATTCATATGAAAATATGATACATCTACATTGCACCAGGTGCAAGTTGACATGAAAAACTAGCTGCACAAGACAAAACCAGGTTGCACTCTTGTCCCATAAACTTATCAAAGTTCAAATATAGACTACCGGTAGTCTTAAGTAAAAAAAATAAATACAATCTTCAGATCTTTGACGACTGTTCCGTGATTTTACATAAGTAAATGATGTATTGCTAAAAAACATCAGAAACGTGCACATAATCTCATCAAACAGTTTGATGATGTCATGCACAAGAAAGCCTGACAAATTATCCATAACACACATTCGTGACCAACTCGTGTTATTCCGGGACAAGCCGAATAGCGACTCGTGCGCCTCTCATGGCCATTTTTGCGACCGGGTTCCGTCTTAGCGCAAACGGGCATACCTAAAACAATTGTCAACACGTTGAGTAATGGTTCCCATATATTTCCCCATATATTATAAATATTTCAGATGCAATTTAAAGCACATCGGGACATGCGGAATTATACAGTATGATTGACCACATTTAACTGTGTCTTGGGTATATTTTTAGATGCAAGACATATGTTAAATCAAAAATTGTTTCTGAGGGATTCTTTGACGAAGAAATTGAAATCATACGCGCATTCTGATTGGTTTGTCGTATTTTCGCACATAACATTCATCGATAGGGGGACGAGTCCTCTTGCAGGTTACGGAAAGTGGCGAGTGGTGACGAATGCCATAACACACTGATTAATGATGTAGTAGAAGGTCAGAGGTATTGAGTGTGTTCATAGATTGTTGTGTGGAAAAGCGCATGTAGACACAAGTATTAGGTTACACTTTTCATGATAGGTTGCACTGGTACATGTTTAATTGAGCGAAATCGAGCAGTCTTGTTTTCAAGAACCTGAATGTTGACCTTGACCTTTGTCCAAAACACTTTTCAAAGAAGTGGTTCTCCCTAAAGAAGCTACAAAAACAAGACTAAGATATCATTTCCTTCTACCATGCACTTCCAGACAGAACCCTGCCCGGAGAATGGCTAGCACAATTGTCAAACCAAATATTCCAAAAGCTATGAAGGAGATACACATGCTATGATAAGCCCAAGATGTCCAAGCACTGTCTTGCTTCAAAAACAATGCTGCAGAAGAGGTGGAAGCAGTCAAATTCAAGTAAAACAATCTACAATGGGCTGCTGACAAAAAGACATAAACGCCAAGTACACCAACATGCTATTGAAGTGGAAGAGGGAAGTAATACCTTGGAGCTCTCTGAGGCTGTGGAGCAGCAGCAGCCAGGCTTGGGTCAGGTTTGGGCTCTGGTCTTGTCTGTTGAGACTTGACAGTAGGGCTCGACACTGGAGGTGGGGCAGATCCTGACATTGTATTTTTACTGGCCATTGCAGCCCATGAAAATGGTTTCGCTTCAACTGAAAACAAAAATGAAAACATTGCCATGAAAAATAAAGAAATACATACATCCCTTTCTTAAACAGTTTGATCAACAAGGTAGGTGTTTAACAGAAACTGACGCTTTTCCTCAAAGCTTTTAAAGTCTTACAATAAGAACATGTACTTCAAGCCCCAAAACATTATTTCTAGATAAATTTCCAAGCCTCAAGACTGTACAAGTTAAGATGCAACAGTATCTGTCAATAACAAAAACGTCAAAGATGACCTTGACATTTGATAAACATATCAAGTGGCAGGATTTGTAAAGGTACATGCTGCAGAAGTAACCAAGCCCCAGGAACTGACATAACCATGTTTTCCAAAAACCTGAATGCTGACATTGACCTTTGGCTCATTTTGAGAAAAACCTATAAACAGCAGGGCCTCATTCCTTGAGAAGGTACACCGGTATTACCAGGTAAAAGCCAACCTACTGTTGTGCTTTTCAATCCTGATAATATAACAGAACATTTAAAAACATACAATCAAGACACATGGCAGAAATCAAAATGTAGCAATCACAATGAGGTGTCACAAGTATTAACAACCTTGTGGTTCCTCCTCATCTTCGTGTGGTGTTTCTGTGATCGTGCTGGCAGTCACAGGTGTTGTAGTTGCAGGTGATTGGGCAATTGCTGCAGATGTAGGTCCAGGAGAAGTCTTCAAATCTACCTTCTCATCAAACTTTTCATCTTCCAGCTCAAGTTTCTCTTCAACATCTTTCCCCTCTTCTGGTACACCAACAGCCTCATCGACATCCTCAACATGTGACGACCCATTACTGTATTTAGAAAGAATCTAGTAAAATCAAGATATTTTTCATATTTGTTTACTTATCCTGAATTATTCCTTAATGCATGTACTGCTTGATTTTGACAGAAAGAAGCTGTGATTGGTCCTGCTGAAGAGAGTAAAAAGGTTGTTCCATTCCATGAGCAGGATCCCCAACCACCAGCTACCACGTCATCCGGCAGTGGACCTTTCATATTGCTGATGTTCACATGTAAACTGTCTGAAGTTATTGTCGGGAAGCAAGTCTGTGATGGGTGGGCCCTTGTAAAGCAGGATAAGTATACAAATACAAAAATATCTAGATTTTACTAGATTTTTTAAACTTATCCTGCACTACTCCTTAATGCATCTATATCCGACGATATAGAGGTGGGGATATCTTAGATGTGTACTTGATAAACAACTAGCAGTCATGTGTGCCGTACGGCACAATTCCTCTGCGCAGATCGGTAACTGATCAACCAATCCTGTCCACTGAAAGGTAACAAGAGTATGAGTATGTCCAGGTAAACAATCAGTAAGAGACAATAGCGGGTAAGGATGGCTCTGGACATGAGTAAGTATATTTATGGCGTTGCGGGTTGGTCAGCTGCTGGGCTATAACAAGCGGTCCCTAAACCGCAAAAGCCCTCAATGTCTTCTAAAACCGCGTCCCTCAGGTCAGTGGCTGGCGAAGACTGAGTCTGACCACAAAAAACATCCTTCCATGATAGCTCTAACTGAACAATTACTGTGAAGAGCCATCATGAAGGCAACTGCCCGAATCTAATGGGGGGTTATTAGCTTTTGGCGGCATGAGATTGGCAATCTCGTATGCCTAAAGGATGAGAACATGCAACCATTAAGAAACAGTATTGCTGCTGACTTCGGTCATAGACATCTGAGAAAAGGGAATAAATAACTGTTTTTTCACGTACCACACCTGTCTTGCAGCAGCAGACAAATACTCGTATTGAGAAGAACCCGAGGCGAACCACTCCGCGAGTACCACGCTCAAAGTGCACACACGTGATGTCGAGCACATGAATCTTGCTCACGCTTGCCGCTGTGGCTAGTGCCAAGAGAAATATTGTCTCCTTAGTGAGGTTAAAGAATGATATAACGTGGAGAGGCTTGAAGAGTTCCAGACTGGTAATGGTGCTACCCTTCAAGCGTCATTTGGTATGCAGGAGTAGCTGATACTCAGCCAAGAATTGAGGCAAGGTGTTAGTGGGATCTTGAGCCTCTTCTTAACAATAGGTCTTAAATGATAGCCACTTATCATCGTAAAGGCCTCGAGTCGAGGTTCTATGTGCCATGGCAATGGCCTTAGCCGCTCCTGACAAATAATCTTTCTTGCATCGGGCTCCTTGTAAATGAGCCAGGCCAGTAGATGAAACCTGCCTGGCGTGGGGTGTGGCTGCCTTCTGTGTGAATGTGCTAGCAGGCTGGGTCAACCCGGTAGAGGTAGGAGATCGCTTCCTGTAAGGTTTCTTAGGTCCAATAAAGGCCGGCAACTAAGGCGCGGTCAAAATCAGAGCAAGGTTCCTGGATGCCCGTATCTTTTGCACCATCTTAGGAAGAAGTACTGGGGTGGAAAAGTTTACGCTCTTAAGGTACGCCCCCAAGGTATGCTCAGCGCATTGATGGTACCTGGCAGTTTCAACGTGTGGCGAATTGGTTGATGTTGGTTTGACCTAGGGTCTGACAAACAATTTGGAATGCCTCAGGGTGGAAGTTACCCTCAGTGGGCTACACACTGACTGGCCTGTATAGGGCGTCTGCAAGCAAATTCCAACAACCAGGTATGTTGTTTTTTTGGTTTAAGTCCACACTCAGAAATATTCCAGCTATAGGACTGTCTGTAAATAATCGAGTCTGGACCAGACAATCCAGTGATTGACATTAGCATTGATCTACACAATTGGGATATGATGACATGCATTAACCACGTGGGGGAACCTGACCACATGATACCGTTAGTCGCCTCATACGACAAGCATAGTCACTTTTTATGGCTAGCATTGGTTGCTGGAGACATTCTACCCAGGTATGTGCTGGACCAGTTAGCGCAGACCCTGTCGATCCACTAGGTTGAAGAACCTGAACATCCATATTTGAGTAAAGAGCGTTTGAATCCCCTGCTTCTGAAGGGGGGGCCATCATGATGTTTTCGGTGGAAATGGCTTGTTGGGTGTTTCTGAGGTGCTTCTATCAATGAGTTGTCACCTGTATGAGGGCCTCCAACTGTAGGTTGTTCATGTACCTCATGTACCACATGTACCAGTGTAACGGATAGCAGATATAGATTTGGCTGTCTTCAGGAGTCATATGGAAGATGTGCCGGGAGATACTGAATCCTGTGACGTAAGCCACGACAGTGGGCTCAGCAATAGACATATAACTAAACAGTCCAAGGTCTGGTGAGCACGAGGCACTTGAGGCATTGTACGGGGTGAGGTAGCTGTTTAAACCTGAGGCGCAAGTGGTTACTCAAGGCGCTCATGTATACTGCTAGAAGGCAGTGTGCCTGTAAAAGGGGCTTATGGTGTGGCCAGGAACAGTTAAACAACTGGCCGTGATGGAAGGTATGTGCAGGTGTTGAAGCCCAAGTTGAAGCTCAAAGGCACAGCCAAGGAGAGTTGCTACGCATCACAGGGTTTGTCGAATGTGTAAACATTATAGATGTTCATTTAGGCACTGGCAATGTAGAGACTCCTGAAGGCGCAGGTCTAGTAGAAGCGTCTTTAGGCGCGTAGATAGGCACTGCTAAAGACATTACAATCTCATTAAAATCAGATCTTAGTTCCCGCTACTGCTAAACAAAGATCTGAGGATATCCTATTACGGGTCACATCAGAACGACCTTTCTCAAACTTTGACCGACCACTGAAACGACTAACAAGAAGTCGACATCAGCCAATTAGAAAGCAGCTTTCTCGAGCTTTACGGCACTCGTTTCAACCTGGCACTTTCCATTTCAGACTACACTTGAAAAATATGTTGACACAGTTCTCGATTAAAAATTTGAAAACGGAACAAACGAACATTCCCGAATGTCTAACATATGGTTGCGATTGTATGGCAGTGCTTCCCACGTAGTGTTCAACGCCTCCTCCGTTCAAACGATAATTTTGACAGAATCAGTCGTACGGGCCATAACTGACGGTCGGAATACCCCGTGTTAACTTTTTCGAGGTTGCATGATTAGAAAACACATTTCGCCTGTCTCTTTCATGATCTGGTAAGCTATGCTCTTATTGGTCGGATGATAGGTCGCTTTGACATGACCCGAAACAGGATGTCCTCAGATCTTTGTTGAGCGATAGCTGTGCTTGTGCTGTAGGCTCTGGCATAGAAGCTACAATAACGCTTTGCACTTCGGTAGCGTGAAGCGATTGCAGGATGTCAGAGGTACCGATGGGCGTTGAAAGCGCTCAATTTGTTGAAGTAGTAGATTGAGTGTTTGATTGATTGATTGATCACTGGGGAATCCTGCTCATGGAATGGAACAACCTTTTTTTTTCTCTCTGCAGCAGGACCAATCACAGCTTCATTTCTGTCAAAAGCAAGCAGTAAAAGCAGGAGTAAAACGGGTAATGCAGAATAAGTTAAAAAATAAACCAACTAGAAGTATTTGAATATACTAACAAAAAAAGAACATTTCCAAGATCTTGACCGTAATCGAGACAACTTCTTATAAGTTCCATTTTCAGGACTGTACAAACAAATGTGTAACATATTTGACAATGTGTTGTGTTGTGTTGACATGTGTGCACTAGTCAATACAAATACCAATTTTATAGTGCTAGCCCACTGAGATACCATGCCGCAGTTTAACATGAATACCCCAGTCAGACACAGTACACTGACTACTAGCCAACAAGTCCTTGTTTCAGCCCCTTCATACTAAGCGCTAGGCAGGGTAACAAAAAGTACCATCTTTTAACATCTTTTGGTATTTGAAGGCTGGGCGGAAGCTCAACCACAAGACCATAGAGGTGGTCACAACATCAAAGATGACAATGGAAAGTCTCATAGCTGTAGTGGGAACAATGCCTCAGAAACTGACAAAAGACACATTAAGTTTAATTGCATTACACAACCTTTTTGAAAAAGTTACCACAAACTTTTGAGTAAGATTTGCCTCTCTCACGACATTAACCTTTCCAAATGAGGAAGTCCATTCTTGGATATCCTGTGTCAATAATCAATATCTTATCTGCATTCCAGAATGACAAGAACAAGATCTAGGTATAAAACGAGAGATCCATAAAACCACATTTACACCTCGTTATTCTGTTAGAACTTACATTGCGCCATATTCAAGAGTAAATATGATAAAACAATTTGTGTCAATAAGCTCAGAGAGGACCTAAATGTTTGAAAAATTTAATGATATTTGAGGTGGAGGTAACCTTGCCTCAGAAACTGACAATGACATGAAGATGTTTTACAAAACCCTGAATGCTAACTCGTCTGCATTTTCAGAGACTTTGAACAAACTTGAACAAACCAATGGTAACAACATCCACATTTCAGAGGAATATATCAAACCATTTTGGCGAACACGACAATGTAAACCACAGGACGACTTATGACGACCCAAGCTCTTTCAAACCAAGTGAGCTAAAATAAACAGCTAGTCAAGGCAAGGGACAGAGAAATAAGAATTGCTGCACTTCATTTTAAGAGAAATGATCATGCAGGTATTACTATGGTTACCTGAGAGGTGGAGGTTGATCATAGAAAGATGTAGAAGACTCTTGAGTCCCTGAATCCACTTGCTGACCATTTTCAACAACATCTTGTTCAGAGTCTGAAAAAAAGAAATATTTTCATTGATGTATGAATAAGAATCAACTTATTTTGTCTCATCAGTCATGACAATGAGATATGGAATGCTAGAGGAGAGATGCCAACATTAAATGCAACTTTGGAGTGATCAGAAGGGTACAAAAGCGTAATTTCATGTGAAAAATCAAAACATAAATAGTACCATGACACAGGTTTATGCTACAGGTTTATACATTTTCATTTGGCCTAGACGTATGTGAAACATGGTTACACATACATTGATGCTTGTAATTAAATTTTCGTTGAATTCATTGAAATTCCTGCATTCTGATTAGCTGAATTGAGTGTGTTATTGCATTCAATTCCCAATGAGTGTAAAACATTAAGCCATGCCCACCGAAGCAGACTACTTTTATAACTACGGAATGTCAGAGAATCCCAATATTACAGTCGAGGGAATTCCCTATCGTCATAAACATGACAATAAGCGGAGTTCATGCATATTCATTGTCCAAACAACTCTTTGAGAACGAAGGCTGAGAAGGAATAAAACAGCAAACGTGGAGGTTTGCTCGCCTGTTTTTTTCAACGCTCGCCTCGGTTCCACAACTTTCATGTCTTCGGGTTTCTTTGCCGACTAGCATTTTTCCAACTGTCTTCCCATTCTCAGGGAACTAATGTTTGCATCTGGCGGTAACTGACTATGCATAAGTCTTTGTTTTTATCATACACTCCGTTGATTGGCTACTGACTTTGTAGGTGTGTCAAGTTGTGTGCATAAATTAAACAATCACTTGATTCATGTCACGCCACAGTATGTATTCCAACACACGGAATGTGTATCAGTCTCGTCATTTTTGTCTGCTTTGATATATACAACTGTATTTGGTTAAACTATTGTAGATAAAACATGTTTTCATTGTCAAATTAAATTATAAGCATTGACTGTATTTTTTTTCGAAATACGATTTTTCGATTTATATCTCAATGAACTGAGTTAATCCCTAACTATAGCCACACAAGACAGTGTCACTATTTGAAAAATAGGGCAATAAAGCTCAAAGCTCATGGAAGTTATGAGGTTCAAGGTGCAGCGTTGTCTGTGCAAATCCAATTTCTGGTTCAAAATCTGCTACACAGGTGAATTCTCCGCACCTTAGAAATCAGAAAAATGCAACGACCCACATTGTTTCCATGATAAGGTTGTCGAAGGCACCAAATACTCCCGACCACAGCAATTTAACAAGGTCATGCAGGATACTTGAGATCATTGGTAATCGAGTTTTGGTATAATCGAGGTTTAAAGTGTATCACAATATTTTACGATGCACAAGGCTGTATTGCAATACGTATGACAACATATTAGAATTCAGACAAAACTTTGAAACACCAGTGTATTAACTGAAGTTCAGAAATTGAAAAAAAAAATAGTTGCTGGTACAACGTAATGTTTACCTATTTTCTTAAGTATAGTGCACACTTTTTTGAGCATTATACATGCTATAATGAGTTGTGATGAGTTGTTTTTTCCCAATGCAAAGACATTACCATGAGCATGTAAAACCGGAAATAACATGTCAATAAATCTGTACTGAAGAATTTAATCTTGCAATTATACTGTCTGGTCATAAAAAGTGTTCATTGTATATCTGAACTTATATTTGTAATTTATTTTATTAATTACATTCCCTGTATTTGGCAAGTGCTTAACATTAAACACATAAAATTGTAAATTTTACAGTAAATTGTATATTTATAATACTTATCCTATCTCACTCTATGCAGTTCAGGTTGCTGATTCGTGTTTTTGTGACCTGATTGTTAGAGGGTGGGCATCATGGTGATGCAAAGGGTGGAAACTTTGTTGTGGGACGTTTCCACACAAAATCGGAAGAAGAAGGATGAAATGCATAGAGTGAGATAGGATAAGTTTAAAAATTTACAGTTTTGGAGTTGCTTCAGAAAAGGAAAATGGACAGCTGTTGAATGGACATGCTGATCACTATATCCCGCCCCGTTTTTCAAACCGGGGAGATAAAAATGGCTACCTGACTGCCATATTAAAATTCCACTATTTTGCTTTGGACAAACTTGGAACTTTCAACTTGTACATGTTGTAACAACCATCAACATAATCCACATCCGCTGAATCCATCACGCCATATTTGAGAAGCCATCAAAATGATACAGTGTGTGGATACTAATGCTGACAAAGGTTGACGGGTGACAATATAATATTATAAGTTCACATGGCCTCTCAGGCCAGGTGAGCTCAACATGTATACATGAACATCCCCCACCATCTTCAGTGTGGAGGTGTAAGGATCAACCTTTAACTGATACTATTAATTCTGTGGTCTACATAATCTATACCCACTACAGAAGCTGTTATCTCCTAGTTCAAGAAGCTGCATACCCCCAGCCTCCTCTGCCACCTCAGCATCATCACTGTCGTTATCATGGAACACTTCATCCTGGTAACGGAAGATGTCATTGTGCACATAGTACTTCTTCGGGGATTGAGGAGCAAGCACAAATGTTTGCATGAATCTTCTCATGGGCTCACCATTATTAGACAATTCTCCAGTAACCTGCAAAGGAACCAACCTATAAATCAGACAACTGACCATCACCTGACATATCTTTCAAATTTCAGAATGAAACCTGCTGAGTAATTGGCCAAAAACAATTAAAATCAGATCAGAACTCGGAGAGCAGTTTTCTAGTTGACCCATAGCTGGGATCATTCAAACAAAGCTTCATGACTTGGAGTTTTAGAGATGTGGTTAACAATGTACAGCCTGATGACCAGACAGACTGTGCCACAACATAAGCTCACTTGACTTACAGTCAGGGTAGCTACAAATGCTTACGGCAATGGAAAGTACAATTTAAGTTGCCAATCACTACCTGTTAACTATGACATAAAAGCCTTGCACAAATATAATGTAGGGTTCAGACAGATCTTTGGACTCTAAAGTCTAGCACTTTTAAAGCACTTTTCAAGGACTCTTTTCTCGTTTAACTTCCAAATCCTAAAATTGTAATCCCAACAATGACAAACAGATTTCTGATGACTGCTCCATCTCTGCAAATTTAGCGCACTTTCCCCTTACTATCAAAATATTCAGGGATGTGAGCAGGATTCCCCCCCCCCCCCCCCAAAAAGAGAGGAAAAGTCTAGGGGGTCTTTTTTATTTTTTTAACTTTTGATTGCATTTTAAGAAATTTTGTGCAGTTTGGACAACATTCACACCAAGAAAAGGGACAAGTCAATGGCAAAAGTCAAAAAGTCAAATATACAAAGATGGCAGAAGCAGTAAAATTTTGAAGTTAAATCAGTACTTTTAAAAAATCAGGCATGGGAGCAATACTGCCATAAACTTCAACCCCCATCCCTCAGACACAAGGACAACTGTCACAAGCGTGCAATGTCTGACCTTTCCCCATGTTGAAACATACCCTGTACTTACTTACCTTTTGTTGAAAAAAACAAAACTCCATTGCAAACATGACATTAATACAACATATATCCCCATGTGGGTTTTCGGACGGTGAAGAAACATTCATAGTTTTCTCGCTAACCACATGAACAACTATAGGCCTAACTTTAGCCTTTAGAATACAGTACCACAAACTTTTCAAACATGTGACGATACCCTATGATGTAAATTGTAGTAATTTGTTGACAGTCACACCAGCAAAACAATGTCCTTTGAAGTCAGGGGTCATCGAGTGTGCATAAGCTCTTCCCAGAGATCTATCATCTGTTCACGAAATGTCATTGAATACGCCAAGCGATGTGGAGAGTTTTGAATATGTTTAATAAATATAGACTGTGGCAGCACATTTTAGAGCAAGCGCTAGTTTACGAAAGCACTTATATTTTTTATTTTGTTTTTCTCATAATTCAAGTGGCTAAAATGGTTCTAAACGGGAACTAATATACATATAGGCGCTGAACACATTCAAATATCGCTAGTGTTAGGGTAGGTTACCCCATACTCTCTTTAGCCCTTGGATCCCCTGTACGATCAATCATCCCTTTACAATCATTAGGATTAGGTAAATCTACTCGTTTAGTGGCTATTATAGATTCTATAGCGGCTCCCAATAGTCTTCACACAAAAATGATGAAATGGTTTTGTGTCAAATACTTTGGCTACTGGAAACTGTGATGGAACATTCACACAAGCCACTTTCACCTGCTACATTTTTCCAGTACTGATTCAAAAGCGAACTCACCCTTGTATTGTCACTAGCCATGCACATGCCTCCCTTGTTCCTTACTATTATCCACATCATCCTTACACTGTTCCCTAGCACACTTTTCTGTCACAAAAATCACCCGACAAATTATCATATACCATGTCAACCATGTGACCCCTAATGGGATGTCCTCAGATCTTTGTTTAGCGATAGCGAGAACTAAGATCTGATTTTAATGAGATTGTTCACTTGTAGGCTAAAAGACAACTTTTATCTTAAAAACAAGCCATCATCTGACTGAGTATTTACAATTTCTGTGTAATGCCACAACCCACGTTATAGTGCAAGTAATCGTGATAGAAAACATATGATGTCCGAAAACCTATGCTGCTGAAAGCTCTGATCGAAAACAGGACGATCCGCAATGGTTGTCCGGTTTTCAATCATATTTTTTGGAGTGTTTTTTAAGTCTTTGATTATATTTTTACGCAGATATATTTTCCCCGAGAACTACTGTTTTAAAAAACGTGATTTTCCGCGTTTCAACAGATTTCACATCCCTGTATATTAATTTTCTTCCTGCAGCAGTAACACAATGCCTTGTTACTGTCTTTTCTTTCGCGCATCCATTGGTACTTTGAAACCAAAGCGCAATTATAAACTCACTTCCCATGCATGATTGAAACACAATTTGACTGGTTCCCAAGGATCCTCAGCTTGGTGTGGTGCAGGAATGGGGAACCAATCTAAAGTTTCAAATGTCGCTCATAATGTTAATTAAACAATATTCAGACAGAAGACAGTCCTTCTTTTTATGTTGTAAGTGGCAGGATGTAATCAATGAATTGAAACTTAATAATAATATTCAGTCACGACTTTGTTATATATAAGAGACAGTGCAGCAGCAGTAACCTGAATACCACAGAACCTTAGGCAGAAGTATCGTTTTGACACTTCATCGTTTTGCAAGTCATTACCCTCTCTTCCCCCAGTGCAGCTTGAAAAGATGTTAATGACATTTGCTGTGTTATTGTGGCTGGGGTCGGGGCTTCATGGGCAGAAGGAGGTTCCAGCTGAGGAGATGAAGGTGGTTCAGATGCTTCTTTTGTTTCAGTGAAACTTTCCAACGGAGTTGTTGGGGCCTGTGCCGTCTCGGAAACAGGAACTGTTAACATGGGCTGGGTAGCAACAGGTGATGCAGTGGGGGGTACCACTGGCTTCACGTGTCAGGATAGAGGACTGTCCAAAGACGCTGCTTGGAGCCATCTTAGAAGTTGACGGGCGGATTAAAGAGGAATAGCCCAGCGTCCCTGAAACCCTTTACAGCTATGTCAACAGTGGTTGACTAATGCAGGACTTGGCAGAATACTCAGGCAAATGTTACCTTTGTCACTTAATCACCTACATGTTCTATTTGGTAGTTTCTTACAGACTGCCGCCACGTGTCCTTCAACGAGCTGAAATCGCAAATCTAGAGGCTGTATCAGGTGTGAAGCATGTTATTGTAGGCAATATAGTTCAATGCCACTATCCCTACAGATTTCAGAAGCTGTCATGGTTAGATGTGTAGAATGCCAATTAACTAGGAGCAGGACATGGCGCTGAACTCGCCGCTGATCAAGACCTAGAATAAAAACATCTTTGAGCCATGTAGCGAAGAGTTCAGAGTCCATCCACCCATTCTCTGATCTAACCATGACAGCTTCTTCAAAGCCCTCAAACGGATTGTATGGAAATCGCTGACCTGGTGATCCAGCAGAGATATTTGGATGTCTCTTGAGGAACCCCTTGTACCAATCTTTTCTGGGCTTGTTCTCTTTAAACGGAATATCACAGCCATCTTCCTTTAATATTTTCTGAACTGTGGTAAGTAGCTCCTGCATTGTTCGTCCCAAACCTATTTTCACCATGGCAATAACCCACTTCTCACTTCACTTCTATTGTCATATTTGCCACTATAATGATCATGAAGTGTTGTGTAGGGAATGCCATTAACTCTAGATGCTTTAGAAATTGAAATAGATCCGCCTTTCATCATAGAAACAGCTTCACTTAAAATTTCTTGAGAGTATTTTTGTCTTTGTTTGGTAGACCCAATGAGGCAATTCATTGTTTCCTGAAATAAGATTAGTGTTTGAAAATTGCCTTTTTGAAAAGAGATTTACTCCACTAAATGCTATCATTATAACAATCTTTGCTAATTTTTATCAATGTGATATTACGATTTTCCATCGTATTTTTGGTGAAAATACTTTACATGCTACAAAGTATGAGTTTATATATTTATACTTGATCTATTATATATTTTATTTTGTTTTGTAAATTTATTCACATTGGCGCTTTACTTTAGGTTTAGGTATGTGAATAATTTCATCTACTTGTAAATTGTGTGAACACGGCTTTCTTGTGTATTTTGCATTCTTTTTCATTGTGTATTATTGTGTATTATTTTGTGTATTATTTTGTATATTACATATAAATCTCATATATGTTAATTTTAAATAATGGAAACATAAATATCAATCATTTGAATTCACTGAATATTTTCATATACAACTAGGACTATCTGTGGATGAGTGATCAGTAAATGCCACACTCATGTTTTAAGTGGAGGCCTTTACCAATACAGGCTATACGAACGCCAATTTGGCAGGAAGACTGCATTGTCAGTCATGAATATTGTTGTCACTTAGTGGGTTAGTGTTCAAGGAGGCCGTGCCGCACATTGATTGATGCCACATCATCGTTATTACCTGCCTCCGGTCTAGTAGCAAAGATGTTTTACAAGCAGATATTTTCCTTGATAAGTGTTGGCTTCATCTATCACACAAGAGTCACTGGGAACTCAAAAGCAAAAGTTTCTGGTTGACTGGTTTTGAAAGAGTTAATACAACTTCCAGCTACATTGTAACATGAATATTTCTCACTAGAAATTTATTTTGCATTTGAATACAATTTTTGTTGAAAATATAAAACGGTTTCCGAGTTACGCTCCGGAAACAAAATGATTACGGACAAACAGATAGACGAGGCATCGACTATACCCCCAACATTATATGCTGGGGTCATAATAAAAATATAATTTTGTCAAATATCAAAAGGCACCAGTCAAGCTGATGAGCAATGAAATATGGAGGATGAGAGAGGAGAGAAAGACATAAATACTACTTGCCTGCACAACAACCGCATTTCCAACTGTAGCTTGACTGTCCACTTGACGGATTTTTGCATGGCAGTCTCGGAAGTTGAGAGACATGATCTTCTTGTGAATATCCTAGAAAAAACAAACAAATGCTGCTACATTTCTTGTAATCTTGTATTTCTTGTAGCTTCTGCTGTTTTTTGAAGACTGAAAGGATCATTTGAGCATTATACTTGAGTTGTCTCAGCAAGAAAAATGAGTGATGATTTGAGTGTTCTGTACACAATGCTGAACATAATGCTGTTGTCAATGTCTTATGTCTGGTCCAGATTATTCATACACCTGCCACATAGCTGGAATATAACTGAATGTGGTGTTAAGCAACAAACAAACGACAACTTACGTTTGTTTTAAGACGTCAATGGCAGTAATCTGATAGTGGTTGCAGTTAATAATGGTGCAAAATGCCTATCAGTTCACATATGATTCCACAATTAATAACTACCTTTTATAAACAATACATGGAATAAAAATATATAAAATATTTGAGTACATATTCATTTGGAGCATAGATCTATTGGGGAAATGTATTCCACAATTATTCCAAAAGATCTTTCCAAATTCAATTCTTCAAGGATGCAAACTTTTGTAAACAAACGGACATCATATTGAAAGTGATGAATACTTTTGTCCACCAATTGTGACCTTGATGTCCTAGTGCAATAAAGGACATAGGAATGATATGCAGCAGTAGAAACTAACATTTATAGTCCACTAGTCCTTATAATGATAACATATAGCAAAACCCTTAAAAATGGCAAATGTCTACTTGTCCTTATGAAACCTCAACTATTGGGCAGTTTGGCAAGGACTTTAGGACTACTGCCAATTTCTAACGCTGATATGGTATCCCTGAGATGTCCAAGCAGTGTGTGGTTTCAAAAACAAAGTGCCACAGCAGTGGTCAAATTTAGGCAAAACCTTGAAGCATCCCCATTTTCATGGTGTTAAAATAAAACTATTTATCTCATTAATCATGACAATAGTATATGTCTTAGCTCTTTCAACTGTTTGGTTCAGGTCACTGGGTGTATTTTGCGCATACAAAGTGTTTCGCCTTTAATCTAATTTGATGTCCAAGATAGAAATCAACTGATTAAGAAATTGTGTAGCTGAGTCAAATTTGCTCACGAAGAGTAACTAGCAAATGTGGAATCTATAAGACAGGGTAAAAGAAGAGAACTAGCACACTCACAGCCTGTCCCATCACAGGAGGTTGCTCTTCCCCTGGCTTCTCAACACCACCATGAACAAAACAGGAGTTGTGACTGTAAAATCTGAAGAAAAAAAACATTTGTGAGACCTTTTGAAGCTTTGATTTTGGTTAGTTGGTTTGTTGTTTAACGCCGCACTCAGCAATATTCCAGCAAGATGATGGGCGGTCTGTACATAATCAAGTCTGGACCAGACAATCCAGTGATTAACATCATGAGCATCGATCTACGAAATTGTATCAAACAAGTCAACAAGTTACCCAATCCCGTTAGTCGCCTCTTACCACAAGCATAGTCGCTTTTTACAGCGTTGCTAAAGACCTATTCTACCCCCGACCTTCACAGGTCTGAAGTTTTGAAGTGATCAGGGACTTATCGGGGAGTCTTTAACTGTGCCCTGGCACGGTAGTCAACAAAGACAGACACTGGTGCCAGCATTGATATCAAAATATTTTCAGCATAAATAAACGGATGAAAACTAACTAAAATCTAATGATGTGAACAAAAGATAATGTCATCATAAAAAGGAACATCTCTTGACATGGTGATTTACCACTTCGATTGTATTTCTTGTTTCTTGTTATGCTAGGCATTGTTTTATATGTAGTGATAAAGATTACTGTGTCTATTGTCTTGTAAACTAAGCAGGAAATAGTGAGTTTGATTTTACGCCGTTTTAAGCAATATTCCAGCCATATCATGGTGGTAAGCAGGAAATAGCAATCTGCTGTTAACACCTTTTCTCCCAATCTACCGGTGATACTTTTGTATATTGTCGGATACTTTTATGGCTTTGGAACAATTTGACTAATCACCGTTGAGTAAGGGTGTGTGGTATTACCGGTATATCCGTCAATTGAGGTTCATTCTTATATACTTGTCAAATGCCTTCACTGCCAGGAGCGAGCATCCGGGGCCCAAAGATGGCTGCGTATTTATTGAATGAGTAAACATTATGTTGTACCAGCATCTTATTTGGTTTCAATTATGAACTTTAATTCATACCTAAATGTATCAGATTGTTTCTGAATTAAAAATTAAAAATTTAGAATTATATACTAGCAACATAAAGAAACTTTGCACGGAGAAAATATATTCTGGATTGAAATAAAACACAGCAAGAACAAAATGATGCAGACGCTGTGGCAGCTGAATGATCGGACCATAAGAAAATGTTAACGGGACCTGAACATCTGTTACGATGACGTCAGAAGGTCAAAATGGAGTAGGGGGTCATACGACAAAGTCACAAAGTCAATAACGGGTATGACCACCCTGTGCCTGAATCACAGCAGTGCATCGGCAACGCATGGAGTCCACCAAATGGGCATGGAAGGCCTAGGGAATGGCCTGCCATATCCTCCTCAAATCCTGTGCCAAGTCACGGACGTTATCTGGAGGATGTGGAAGACGACGCAGAAGGCGCTCCATTTCATCCCACACATGCTCTATTGGGGAGAGATCTGGAGAAACTGCAGGCCATGGCAGTAACATGACATTGTTATGATGAAGGAACTCCATTGCGACCCTAGCCGTGTGAGGACGAGCGTTGTCCTGTTGAAATGTCAGTCCCGGGCCATGATGTTGCAGGAAAGGAATGACCACAGGCCTCAGAATCTAATCTCTGTAGCCAACACCGGTGAGATTGCCCTGAACAACCACCAAAGGGGTTCGGTGCCATGCTGTTATCCCATCCCAAATCATCTCCAAAACGATTCCTCTCCGCAATACAGTTGCGTGCATAACGTTCTCCCAAACGCCGGTAGACACGTTGGCGCTCGTCACTGTGGGAAATGTTGAACCTCGATTCATCTGTAAAGACAACATTTCTCCATCATATTTGAGGTTGGCGAACATGATTTCGACACCATCTTAGACGGTTGACTCGATGACGGTGTGTCAGGATGGGACGTATGGCAGGGCGTCGTGGTTGAATCCCGTACTGACGTAAACGATTCCTGACAGTGTTGGGATGGATACGGCGCAGTCCAGGAATTGTCTGGGACGTCGTTACTGCCGTTTGGAACCTGTGTCGGAGATGTGTAACTCAAAACCATCTGTCCTGTCTTGGCGTCATTACTCGGGGACGTCCTGAACGTGGGTGGTCGGCAACGTCATTTGTGTTCTGATAACGCCTCACAAAGGCCGATATCGTGTTACGATGGCATTGGAAATGTGTTGCCACCTGTTGTTGCCTCATTCCTGCTCGGATCATTCCAATGGGTGCAGCTGTCAATCTTGGCATGATTTGCTTGTGATATGCTTGTGTCTGCGCCTGAGAAGTTTTGAATTTTTGAATGACCACAGATCATGCTTTCCAAAGTGACAGCGAATTTTGAGTTGCACATGCTGTGTACAGCTGCACAGGATGCACGTGCAGTAACACATTGCACGTCCATAAGCCCACATCAATGACGTCATATCGCATGGCATGTGCATGAGCGTTTGAATGTCTCCAATAATTGCTGTGTTCAAACCTATATTTCATATATGGACGGTGTGCCCTTATATCTATATTTTCTCCGTGCACAGTTTCTTAATGTGGCTAGTATACAATATATCGTGATACGTACTGCAATACAGCCTTGTGCATTGCAAGATATTGTGATACACTTTAAACCTCCAATTCCCATACTTCCCGCTGAGGTTGCACGCGATCTTCCTATTCCCATCGCAAAAACAAAATGTTGACATTTAATTGTCAAACTACAACAAATGTAACTTTTAACGTGTATAAGTATGGCAGTTATGATATATGTATCCATTCTCTGTCAACTAAGGTTTGTTTCAAGGTGTCAAAAGCGGGTAATATGATCGTGGTTGCTGTAAATAACGGTGAGTTTGTGCTGTCACGGTATGTGGTAAAGTGGACCTTATGGAACAGGGAAAACGGAAGTTGTAAGTATCAGAGTGACACAAGATTTCTCCTAAATTAATGCAAATATTATGGAAAGAAATTTTGATTAAAACTAATAAAATCGATTACAAACATGAGTCCAGATATGCAAATAACATTTTATATTACCGATGGTGTAACAAAAGGATTAAGTTGCTTAATTCAATACGGATTTGTTGATATTCTATTTCTGATGATAGTTGACGAGGTGCGAGTGAGTGAGTGAGTGAGCATCAGGACTGATACCAATTCATAGTGCTAGCCCACTGAGCTACCATGCCGCAGTTTAACATGAATACCCTACTCAGATACAGTAAAAGGACTCCAAGCCGACCAATCCTTGTTTTAGCCCCTTAATGCGGCGTGCCACACAGGGTGACAACAAGTACCATCTTTTGGTGATGCAGTCGTGGATTGAACCCCGGACCTTCCGCTCTCCGGGCAAACGCTCTTCCATTATACCACTGAGGAAGTCTACTGCAGATAAGATTTCAAGGGCCAAGTTAATATCTTGGCTTAGCTATGAATATTGGCTTATCTACGGTGATAAGTGTGCAACCAGTGTTGGCTGAAGAGGAAGTTTTTGCGTTTTGGATGCACAAATACGAGTCTGAACGCATCTGCGTAACGTGTGTGTCTCATTGACGAAGTGACTGGACCATCATTAATTTCATATCAGATGGCCACTGCATGTTTTGCATGTATTAATGTTCGCTATAGTCCGAAGGTTTGCTTCTGCCAATCATGTGTCGCATATTAAGCTGCTCGGATACATTCGTAATTCTTTTAGCTTGGTGATTGATCGAAAACATCACGACCTCGTGGCACATCATGCACATCAAGGGTATATACTTCAGAACGTGGTAATAGCAGTGACCCGCGAGATCAGGTCACCATGCAGGACGGTGCGCTATATTATCACGGTAGTTAATTTGTAATGGATCATAATGGGGCACGCTTGCGAACTTATTAAATATGTGATATGCAAAATGTTCGTTGTTCTTTGTTCAACTTTTATAACACATAAATTGATCGATGCTGATTTTCTTTACCGAGTTCGGTAAACAAAGTACCTGTCATTAGCGAATCTTACCGCAGTAAGGCTGTGTGGATTATGTGGTTTACATCACTTCCTGTTTTGTATTTTGCATAATCATAATGCATACGATGGGTAAAGTCTGAACAAATGGGTTCTCTTCTAATCAATTTCGAATGGAGGTAGCAGGGTTAGAAACTAACAGCCTTTGTCCACTAGTCCTTATAATAACATATAGCAAAACCTTAAAATGGGCCAATTTCTACTAGTCCTTAGGATACCTTTACTATTGGGCAGTTGGGTAAGGACTATAGAGGTGTAACGATACAGGGGTCGCGATACGATACGTATCACGATACAGTGTTTACTGGTACAAGCTAAGCCAAGTTGATGTCTTTCTGCTCTCTAAAAGATGTGACAAGTACAGTTGAAGAAGATTTAATGTGTTTATTTACTGTTATAGCAAATTGTCAGCAATACAGTATGTTTTACTGAAACAACAAACTGGCTTTGAAACTGTTAAACGTATTTCATGTATTTTCTTGAATATAGTGCGCACCAATGTATAATGCGCACCCCCCTCTAGCTGGTTCAATATTTTGGAGAAAAAAAATAAATTGAATATTATGCGCAGAAAAAAATTACACTGTACTCCTTCAGCGAAGTCCGGCAAACGAACAGATGATGAGAAACTTTGTCAGTACAAATTTGAAATTTGAGATAAAAAATCACCAGACATGTTAATTTACCGTTTAAATTGTATTTTTTGTTCAGCTAGGCATTGTTTTATATCCAGGGATTAAGATTACCTTGTGTATTTTCTCGTAAACTAAGCCGGACACAGCAATCAGCTGTACACACGTTTTCTTGGAATCTACCGGTGATTCGGTCAAGGCACACCCAATGATATAACTTCACAGGATTTTAATGCAAGGATCGGCAAAAGTTGTATCTGAAACTATTTTTTTTATCAGGAATAATATATTCCAATATCTTGTTAATTTAGATGCAGCTTTTACTAAACATATTTAAAATAATAATAACCCTAAGCGAAGCAGCTGATCGCTATTGCCGGGTATTATATTTTACATGCAACCAGTCTGACCAGTCACCGTCAAGGCTCCCGTGCAAGTGATCGCCAGAATTACGTGTTGACATAGAATCGCCTAACAAAAACAAATATGACTTTTAACGAATCAAAGTATGGCCATTAGGATATATGCATCCATTCTGTCAACTAAAGTTCGTTTCAAGGCATCAATGGCGTTAATCTGACCGGGTTGCTGTTAATAACGGTGAGTTGTGCGATCTTCGATCGCTTCACACACGGTTTTGCCGAAATTAATTAAAACAATATTAAAAGGAATTTTGAATAAAATTAATGAAATAAGTTACAAACAAAAGTCCAGATATACAAAGAACACTTTTTATAGCCAGACAGTGTAATTACATGAATAATTTGCGAACTTCAGTATGGATTTGTTTACATGGTATTTCCGGTGTTACGTGCTCACGGTAATGTAAAAAACATCAAAACTCATTAATTTGTGTATAATGCGCACCCCCTTCTACACAGCTGTGTTTTTTGGAAAAAAGTGTGCACTATACTCAAGAAAATACGGTAAGTAAAACTGTGTTATGAAAATATCGTATGTATCGCGATACATGCTTTCCAAATCTATGCATCGTATCGTGGGCTGTGCATCAGGATACAATACTGTATCGCTGTATCGTTACACCACTATAGGACTAGTGCCAATTTCTAACGCTGGGTAGGGTAATGCCACTTCAAAATCATCCCAGAAACTATCATAAAAAAATTAATGTGTGTATACTTGCAAGTAGCCGTGACACACTGATCATGCGATGAAATATATCGTGCTTAGATTTGCATAAGTAAACAGTCGACAGAGTGTGTGGATTACAAGATTTATCGATACTGCATATGATAAAGAACAAATGCGAACACTTGAATGTTTTTAATTAGCAGACTCTGAATATTTAGTTATTCTATAACAGACTTATCCAGCTGTTAATAATTCAATCTTTGGCGAGTTATATTAAGAATTGCAAAATACCTTTGCCAGAACAGCTATCAGTGTAAGTGACATGTTTAAACATTTATAGCACCTGAAACATGTTGACTAGATATCAAGGAAATGCTGGATCCTGAATACACTCTTACTAAAAAACGTTTGATATGCCAATTATGTCATGAGTCATTAATGTAACTGTCACAGTTACGACATGAACTCACTACAGTAGCACCAGAACAGCCATTGAACTTGACTGAATCCATAAACTTCAAATCATTGGTAGATCTAGATTTATACATTCACAAATGTCTGTCCTAATGACCCCTTACCAATGGTTGATGACCTGGCCGTGTACTGCCTTTTCATTTACAAAGTAAGACATTAAAATGGATAATTTTGTGTTAAAATATTCTGTGTACTGTCTTTTCATATATGAAGTTAGACATTAAAATGGATAATTTTGTGTTAAAATATTCATTAATATCAAATTTCCATTTTAAGATATTTTTTATGCCTTAATGTAAACCTCTTGGTCATGAGAGCAGGAAGCGCCCTGATGTGAACCTTTCTCTCACTTTGCCTTTTTGTTGATATTTTGCAGTTGCGAAAATATTTCTGATTTTTCACAACCACTGTGTTCTGTTGTTAATGTTATGTTACAGTGCTATAAGTTGGACCCATCCATTTTTGTTTGGGACCCCTAATTTTATGATGAAGGGGTCGAAGTGACCCCAAGAAAATTTAAGCCAGAACAGACACTGTGCCACAGTGCAATCCTATGGACTTTTAGGTGTGCACTTTGAGAGTAAGTGTGCCAACCAGAAAAAACTTGAATGAGAAAAGAAATATGAAATTTGAAAATATCCTCATATGTTTATCATTTTCATGTCTGTCCAGTTTATTTTAATTTATTTCGTATAGTCTAGTCTTGAGACCAATAGTACACATGATTGGATAATATTTGACATGTTGTGACAGAGCGCTTTAGTTTTTATATTGGCTTTGGAATTTCTAAGTTTAAACATTTTTTCAATATAAAGAGCTAGCTGAAATAAGATGCTGTCATCATTTGTTATGAGTGACAATACAAACTTGTGCATGGTAGGATATTGATAATACAAGGGCAAATACCTCAACCTTAAGGTGGTTGGTTGGTTTGTTGTTTAACGCTGCACTCAGCAATATTCCAGCTATATGACGGCGGTCTGTAAATAATCTGAGTCTGGACCAGACAATCCAGTGATTAATATCATGAGCATTGATCCACCTAATTGACATATAAATGGTGCTTGGTATTCATCATCTAAATCTTCTTTACAGAAATGTCAAAGGCTGTCAGCAAAGTCATGATAACTAGACATTCTCTGTTTATGTATTTAAAAATCATTGGAATAACATCTAAATTTTGTCGTAGATCTTAAATTTACAGTGACTATCTTTATCAAATGATAAAAATTATCACATAGTTATAAAAAATGAAAACAAAAGTTCTCAGTGTGCCCTTAAGGCATTTGGGTCATAATTTAACCACACCATTATGACCACACCATCAACCATGCCACGGACAGCTCTTGATTACTGGTGCAAACACATGTTAACATTTTGATGCTAATCTGACCCTAAAACAGAGGAGTGGAAAGGTTTGGAAGAAAGCATTGACTTTTTGTTTGACTTACCTGTGAAGATGGACCGGAGCCTCATGAAGCAGGGTGTAGTACTGCCTCACGAACTCACGGCCAACACATTGTGGACTAGGAGTTTCCATGACCATGACTTTGACTCTAGAGTTGGACAAAATCTGAAAGAGGATAAGGGATCATTTTAATTCAGGGACAACCATAGTATATTAGCAACAATTAAGTACAGGACATCATGCCACTGTTACTGGACTGTCAATGCTGCCACCTTGACCACACAGTATCATCACTTCAGGAAGCCCAAAACTCATGCATCCTTCATTTTGATTTGGTGGTCAAAGTTTGCTCAAGGTTCACCTGTTGAACACATGTATACATGTTAGGTTGGTCTGACTTTGGCCAAGAGAGATCTAACTGAAAAGATCTGATGATAATGAGACTGCATAAAGTTGACTTCTTTCAACTGAACTGTTTTCAATGAAGGCACTAAAGGGTTTACATTATCATGATTATGTACCAAATTCTGTTGTCATTTTCAATACCAGTGCTCATACTCCTAGGTCAATGTGGGTTGTGACAACTTGTGACATATAAAGACGGGAGCCAAGCTTAAGCAGACAAACCAGAAATATCATCTTCATAAGATTCTGCAGACAACTTCAGGGTTCACTCTAGGAATTTTCTGACAGCGCAATGTTAAAATGCCACATTGTATTTGAAAATGTGAGCCTTTCTTCAAATTTAGGGGCTAAAAAAGCACTTGGCCCCACCCTAGAATTATCCCTGCAACTCTATAATTTAGAAGACCTGTAAACTTTGATAAAAACATCAACAAGAACTACATGTAGCTCTGAAAATGTGTATGCATTGCAAGTGTGACTAATTCAACCGACTGCTGTGTAATGTTACTGCCTTGTTCTGATTTTGATTAGGCTTTAGGACACACTCACTGATCAGCTGAACAGAGTACCATGTAGCAAACTGCAGAACATAACGTAAGTAGTCATGGTAAGTCAAACTAGCAGCTCAAAATGTATGGTTTCGTTTTATTAGTTTATTACGTGAATATTTACTGTTTAGTTATCCAAGGACAAGTTTACATTTTTGATATTTCACACCTTGAATTGACATCTGAAACAAGCACATTATGAGGCGACTTGTTAATTTGTTTAGAACAGCAACTACATTCATTTTTTTAATTTCAGACATATTTTTACTGTAACTGTTGAAAATTTAAATCCAACAGTTTTCATACTACCATTGACTTCATGGTAAATAAATTAAGTTTGCATTGTGTTATAGATGTAATGTTACCAGACACTGAAAAGGCAGAGGCAATACAATTTTTCATGATGTTTTTCTCGTCAACTTCATCATGTCAGTTTGTGTTTTAGTTGCATAATGAACAAATGTTGCTATTCTAAACTAACAATCACAACAAAACATAAGCTTGCTTCAGATATTCTGTAGTAAGCTTTTTTAATGAAGGTGCAACAGAGTACCATTTTAGCTCGACTTCATTTCTGGACAGCCAGCATGGTTAGTTTTTCCCCTGGGAGTCAACTGGTTTTATTAGTATCCACATTTATCTGTGCACAATATCATGGGTTTTTTTCTTTTTAAACTTGTAACAAAATAACCAATAACCTAAAATTATCAATGCTAATCAGATCTTTATCAAGTGACAGTTTGAACTTTGTGAGTTTGAACTCTTCTTTGGCAATTAGTGTTTATTTTGAATTTTATCAGATTTTGTTTTTTCTTAATCATTTCTCATTGGAGTATCAAAATCACTACACAGCGATTTGTAGGCGCCATCTCTAAAGTGTCTGTGCTAGGCACTTTGTGAATGTTTGACAAGTTTCTCATGATGTAAGGGAGATAACTCATTCTGGAAGTTATTGTGTTGTTAAGATAGCATGTAAATCGTATTGGTAAAGTTGACAGATGTAAGTATAGAATGTTATTTTGATTGTGTTGTGTTGTCATGTTTTAGGAATGGTTCTGTGTGTGGGGATGATCTAACAAATAACATTGACCTGAAGCGGGGAGTTCTGTTGCCCATCACTCAATTAAGATTGCAACTGCCATCCACGACATCTGTTGTTCCAGCAAATTCTGGATTCGTGGAACACAAAATATAACGTTCATGCTTTTGTTAAATCGAAGCTGATTGAAATCTTTCAGCCAACCTTTACAAATTATGTGTTGCAGTGACCTAGTCAACCATTTTACTAACTTTTCATTATTAAATGTCCCGCACCCTGCTGAAGATTCGGTAGTTGCAGACGATTTAGCATTGATGCTCGTGCTGGATTCAATAGATTTGTCAGTCAAAACATCGCTGGTCGAAACATGCCTGTTATCTACAGGCACATCAGAATGTGTTACCCTTAGTAGTTCGCTTACTATCGCTGGATGAAAACTCTAAATATTGACAATATATTTGTTGCCATTGTTCCACCACAGACACCAGACCTACTTTGTGCTCCATGTCACAATAACATAGTGAAATAACAAAGACTATTCCATGAATGGAGTAGAGTTAGTTCATGCTTCATCATTTGTCATATTTAGCCAATCACCGAATTATATATACAGATTGCTGAGAATACAAAAACTGGGTTTTATGTCCAGTTACAATCACGCAGTAATATATATACACAACAGTAATATAGAAAGACTATTTCTAGTCGACATTGTATATGAAATTTATCGTGTTTTGGTTCCGCTCGGGGACAGCCAAGAAACATCAAAAATTGTTTCAGACATTAGTTACATGGAAGAATTAAATGGAAAATTGGGCTTTCCATTCAATAATAAAGTAAGGAGCAACTGTGCAACTAAAAATGTACACTTACTCGCCATAATAAAAGTTCAGTAATTGATAAGAGGGTTACTACATGTCACAAGTCGCAGGGAACCAGTGCCTCAACAAAAGATTGGATCATTGCTTATATCATTTCCAAAGAAGAGTTATTGCCCTTCCGGACTAAAAGACTGCACATTTTTCTCTCATCCTTTTCAAACCCATAAACAAGACCTGTGTAAGTCTACTACCATTAATATGTATGTGCTCCTTAGTTATGTATACTTTACAAACATACATCATGTACAGATCATGATGTCATTTCAGTCATCAGTCAAAGTTCGCGAAAGGTCGTAATGACGTGACCCGTAATGGGATGTCCTCAGATCTTTGTTTAGCGGCGAGAACACAGATCTGATTTTAATGAGATTGTGATTGGCTACTTGTAAGTGCAATGTGATAACCTTTTGTTCATTATTCATTTTCAACCAATGTAGGCAACTTTTGGTCTACCATTAGAATTCAACAATGATACAATGCCCTGGGATGTCATAGCAACTGGGTTGCTGGTGTCATTGAGTGTACATAAGCGCTTTCTCTATAATCTCTAAACACACTGTCAATAAATAAGCCCTGTGTTGTTGGGAGTTTTCAATATATATTTACTTATCATAGCATGCATTGGCGCATTTTACAGCAAATGCCAGTTTGCAAAAGCATTTTTATTTTCAACATTTCTGTTTTCAGTTTGATTCTAATTCACTGAACTGAATGGATTAAAAATGGGAACTAATATGTATATTATTTCAATTGGACAGGAATGGATAATTGAGAGTTTGGGGCTAAAACCCAATAGCAATCTTAGTGACTAGTTTCGAGCTAGGTGCTCTCATCAGACTCACCCGCAGGGCATGAATGATAAGATCTAATCCTGGAATTCCCCGCCCACTCACCTTTACTTTGGACAGGAATGGAATTTAAATTATTAGGTATCTATGTATTCATGTCGCACACATCAAAACATTGTCCTCTGAACATATCTACTGCGTGATAAGTTCTGCAGACTCCAGTCTTAAATGACAACTGTGGATAGGAGCTGTGGTGAGGGTCTAAGGGGGCAGTACCCCCTTCTCATGCATTTTAAAGTGATTAAGCATGCAAATGAACTTGTTAACTGCCAGAAATTGCTTTAAAATGTTCAACTGCATTTATTCCTCATAAAAACATCAAGTGTGCATGCATGGTGAAATGGTTGGCAGCTACCTATTTTAGACAGGAATTTTTTTTTAAATTTCCATCCAAGCCATTTTCATGTGCTCCGATGGTTCAGTAATGATTCAAAAACCAACTTACCCTAATGCTGTCAGTACCTATGCCCAATGCCTTCCTTGTTTCTTACCATAATCCATTTTATCCTTAGTGTTCCCTACCATGTTTTGGTCAGAAAATTACCCAGCAAAATATTAAACATCCGTCATTCATGCGTACTCTTTTCAGTTTGCACCACACTGGCTCATTCCTCATCACTCTGGACAAGTGTGCCTGGCATTGTGATCATTCATAAGTGTCCATAGACAAAAGTCATGAGACACCCTGCCAACTTCTAACATTTGTAAGTGTGTCACATAATCGAAACATTTTCATTCATTTTTGTAATCATTGTAATATCTTAGACATGACAAGGTAAATTTGCATTCAGCTTATTAGTGTGGAGTAGCTCAGTCAGTCTGGCTAACCATTAAGAGGTTTTCACAAAAACTGGTTGCTGGAATTGTGACCTGTATCCCCACAAGAAGTTGAGGTGCTGAATTCTAAAGGCGCTCCTATTTTTTTAGTATTTTTTAAATACAGCTCGAACAAGAAAAACATATCGATCACCGTTATATTTTACTTTTAAATTGAAATGTACATGTACAAAATTGAAGAATGGCATTACTATTGCATGAACAGATTTTAAAGAATAGTGGGTTAAAGAAGAATGCCACATGCACACACAAAATGACCAGCGAGGTCATTGGAGTATCTTTGTTTTGGTACATAACACAACAGTTTCAGACTTTCAGCACAAGCTTGGTAGATACCTGGATAGTTGTAAGTGTACATACTTCACCTAGATTGTACGTGACTGTTTACAGCAAATCCTAGAAACATTTATTGACTATTGAATTGTATACTTCACTATTCCAGCAACAAGTTAGCATGTTCATTCAGAAGTTAAAGATTGTGTAGCCATTGTTTGCATTTCATGTACTGGTTTGGGTTAAATACGGTTCAAGACATATATATGTATGCGGGGAAAGTACCAACTGTTCTTCTTACTGTCATGAACCATCACCAAACTTGAGCTATAACACTGATTATGGGTCACCCCAAAGGTGCCCTCCAGTTCGTTTACTTAGTCAAAACACTTTTTAACGAACGATTTCAAATTAATATTGTCAAATGGCTGTCTAGACCGAAAATTTGCGTTAATGAAATAATACATACACTACAAAAGCCTACAAGATATTATGAATAACGATAACATTCAGTGAGCCAACTTGGACCACAGTGCAGTCAGTGGCCAATGTTGCCGCGAAAACGTGATTTCATACTACCCCAGGTTTTCATCATGCTAAAACGACTAAACCAACTATTAACACATATTTATGGACCAATACCTCATAACTTGTAAATTCAGATATATGCATAATCAATCAAGTGCGTAACGTTCAACAAAAGATACAGAACGGCTATGTAAAATTTACACGGAAGATGTTTTCTCACACCGGTTTCGTAGATAGAAAACATAGAATCAATTACTATTAATACACATATCCGTTCCAAGTGATACTCACCTCAAAAATGATGATGATGGGTATTTAAATAGTGAGTTTATGTACACATCTGAATATAAATATGTTTAAAAGTATAATATTTTTGGTGATTCACTTCAGATGAGAGAAATTTTCCTGTAGCACATGCACGATGCGCAGAGGAGGTCTGCGCAGACCGGGACTCTCCGCCTGAGAAATTGTAACCCCCTTTTCAAGGAGGATATTTAAAACAACATCGATTGTAGTAAATTAATCTTTTTAGCTAAAAGTAAATTGATACAATTCAATGAAAGGACACTCAATATTTAATAACAAACTACGATGTGCGAAATTTACCAGAACATTAAATACTTTAATATATTTTGAAACATAAATAGTACCTTCCTTGCCATTAAGTATTCATGATCAGGGCAACTCTGTTATTAGGTCATAAGTAGAATTTCCTATTTTTATAGGTTTCTTCATTTAACATTATTTCATTTTACTTATAATACAAAATTAAAATAGTTTTATTTAATTTTGTATTTTTGGTACTATATTAGTCAGCCAACAGTTTGAAGCTTGCGCATGACCGTTGCTATTGGTAACCAACGCTTGCTCAATTTCATATAAAAGATTCTACATTGTCGATCTGTGTCAAGACGTTTGTCCTAAAATATTGCTAGTAGACTATTCGTGTGAACACATATTACTGCTGATCCGTCAACTACAATGGCTAACAGTTATCACATGGAAGCGCTCAGGAAACAACGGCTGTTGGACCGAAAGAATGAAGCTTTAAGACGTTTGGAAAAACAGGGAACTGACTTGGTACGCATTAGAATATATTGTATTGTATTGTATATATATGTTAAATTAATTACACGGATTCATACAGTTTGCACATTGGTTTTTCGATTCATACCTCAATGAACCGAAATAAATACACAGTCAATCCTTAAATATACGCATTAGAATATATTGTATATCTATATATATCTATATCTATATCTTATATATATATATATATATAATCGCATAAATTGTGTTGTCATCCTTCACATTTATCACACTTAGTCCTTGCTGGCCTCGTCAGAATTTCAAAATCACGTAATGCCATTGTTCAAAGTATTTGAATGAAATCATCTTCACTTTATGTCCTCTCACCTGGGCCCATTTGCACAAAGCAATGTTAGCGCTAAGATTATCGTAAGACTATGTTAAAGTATGTTAACCTGCTGGATGCCGAGGTTTTTTTCTGACACACATTTTTCTAAGATCGGAAAAGTGAAGGTTGTGCGAGAATTGCTCTCACGCGGCACTGGATCTAGAAATCTACCTCCGGCTATAAAAATACGCAGATATGTAGAATATTAAATTTCCTATTTGATGGTGTAAATTTAACTGCAAATATTAGACTGGTTTGAAAAAAAGACACTGTTAAGTGTTTTCGGAGAATTTAGTTAAGAATTGACTTTCACTTTGTGTGAATTCATTGGAGTATGAACCTTCGCAGAGTGAGGGCCAAACTGTATGAACGTCAAAGTAGTAAAATAGTTTCTCAAAACGAGAGGTGACATGAGCTTATGAATGCTCAAATTGCTCAACAGGAACAACTTTTGAAGTTGCTGTAAACAAATGTAGGCCCAAATGTACTCAAATAATATAAAGGTTTGTTAAGTACTACCTCAGTAAGTCAGTCACAATGACAGCGCGTCCTAATACATTTACATCAAGTCCAAGACGTCAGAATGGCCAACAGGATAAACATGACGGGAGAGATTTCCGAAGTTCTTAATGAACCTGTGGCTATTACAAGTGTTAGTAATCACTGATCAATTGGCCAATCACTAAAAGGTGATTGTAGAGATGTGTCAAATACATACTAAGGTACATTGTATATTGCTGTAGACTGTCACTGTAGTCTAGACATGGATCAAGTCGATACTACGGTAGTTTGAATGTGCTTTTCTTCGTTTTGTTCTCTAAGATGGGTAGTAGCAAGGATATCCTTAAACGGACATGCAATCAAACTCTCTGACTTATCCCAATGTATGCAGAAACACAGAGTTCAAGATTAAAGGGTCTAAATGATGAGAAACAACGCTTCTGTATTTAATCCCAGGGATTCCCCCAAGAATGTGGAAGTAGTCCGTTAGTGTTTGCATCATTTCAAGAACACGGTCTCGTGAAAAACCTATGAATGTCAAATTGTGTCGTTCATATACATATGAACATCAATTTTCGCGGTAATGTGACCGACCCCTGTCCAAAGGAAAAGCTGTATATCGTGTCAACTTCAAATAAAAAACTATTCTGCGTTGAATATCAGCAAATTTCTCCGCTTTTGTTTATAGAACACCAATAAATGTACTATGTCAGGGTTAGAAACTAACAATTTTTGTCCACTAGTCCTTATAATGATAACATATAGCAAAACCCTTAAAATGGGCCAATTTCTACTAGTCCTTATGATACCTTTACTATTGGGCAGTTTGGTAAGGACTACAGGACTAGTGCCAATTTCTAACGCTGCTATGTGACAATTTTTTTATGCATACAGAATTCGTGAGCAAACAAAATACTGCCTAATATCTAAACGACATAAATATATATCAAATGGAGTTAAGTGCTTATGTATAACGTTATACATTCAATGCCAAAAATGGCCTGCTGTTAATGTTGAATACTGATTTTTCCTCTAGGACATCAAATGGTGACAGAGAGGTTATACATGTACAAAGAAAAGGGAACGTTACCTCGTTATGCTTAGCACTTGTAACTCAGGTCACTTGGTGAGAATTAGCTGTGGGTAAGGACAATAAATCTTCGCAGTGTTTTGTTCACGAGGAACCAAACTATTCCAACACAAATATCGATACTGAAATTGTTTACGTTTAGGTATAAAAAAGAAGAGATGAAATCGTACTTAATAAGAAAAGGAAGTAATAGCAAAATGGATGGCCATATCTATTCTATAAATTCATCCTTAGATTCCAACATTCTGCTGATTGTGCAAGTGTATTTAGAACAAATGTTGCACCATTATGTTTGGAGCACAAGCCTTATAATCAAATGTAATGAATTACTAAAACAAATGACACCATTCTGCTTGACGTCATGGGTGGTTTATGTCTTTGTCAACCTCGGAGAAAGACGACACTGGTATTTTGATTTATGTATACCTCCCCTTATAGTATGGAAAATCGTGATGTGTAAAATGGAATTTGACACTTTTGCAACACAACATTAAACGACTGCCTTTACCATGTAAATAATGTCTTGAACATTTAAACAATTAGATAGCTTACCCTGTATCTTTTTTGGACAAGACACGCATTTGTTTGGCATCATTTTTACGTTATCAAATACCCAAAAGAATATTTCGAAACAAACAAAATTTTAATCAATATTGTACAGGTATTTCTTGATTATTATGTGATTGTTTCTCTTCATCTAGACTTGATTATTTATATATATCTGGAATATTTCTGAGTGCAGCGTTATACAACAAGCAAACAAACAAATCATCTCGTCTCAGAATTATACAATAAAAGATGCAAAGAAAGCTCCTTTGGGTTAGAATTATCAGGATAATCGTATAAGGTTCCACCAACTGGATACATGGCACAGTTTTTATTTTTATACTTTGTACAATTCTTGAAGAAATAAAGTAAACAGTTTCATATCCTGTGATCACAATATTTAAAAAAGGATGACCCATTGATTATGTTATGGAGACAAGAGGAATAATTCGTAAATCGTTTGTGACTAACGCGCACCTGGCGAATTGTTAGACATCACTGTTCTGTTTATCAAACAACAAAAAAAGCAATTCCAAGACAATTCTTCTACAAATGTGTGCATATATTTTCACATTGTCCATTTTGTTAAAGTAAAATATTTAGTTTTAGTTATAAAATAAAATGAAACAGCTATTCATGGACATTGTTTGTTTGTTTGTTTGTTTCTTTGTTGTTTAAGGCCGCACTCAGCAATATTCGAGCTATATGACAACAGGCTGTAAATAATCGAGTCTGGATCAGACAATCCAGTGAATGAATTTATGAGTATCGATCTGCGCATTTGGGACCAATGACATGCATCAACCAAGTCAGCAAGCCTGACCACCCGATCCCGTTAGTCGCCTCTTACGACAAGCAAAGTCGCCTTTTACAGCAAGCATGAGTTGCTGAAGACCTATTCTACCCCGGATCTTCACGGGACATTGTTTTTATGAACTTATAATATTCATTATTACACTCCAAAGAAATATGTACATGTTGAAGTTACATTTACATTTTCTACCACTTGTCTTAAGGTAAGAAAAATCGAATATATGACACAAAATCTGTCAATTTCCTATGTAAACAAAGTTCAAACAAACAGGAGATTATCAAAGGTTCCTACATTTTGTGGCTTATATTTACGTATGATATATTAACCACTGACAAATATCCATAGTGAAATTAATTGTGCAAAATCTACATCATAATTAAAACTATAAAGAGCAGGATACAATGATGGTGTGTGCTTTTATTCAAGGACCTTCACCTCAAAGAAATTACCAAATATGAACAACAATGTTGACGTATAGCCTCACTACCAGTGACCGACTTTTATAAAATGGCATATTCACTGACAACAGTACGCAGGATTTTACGAGGGGACTTTTGTTAATTTAGGGATCGTATATACATGAATGTGACATGTAAGTAGTCAGAAACATTCTGACAACCTGTATACTGTTATTTGTTGCAATATTTTTCATTGAAACCCAGGGAAATAGTCAGAAATTCCGATAAATACTGTTATAGTGCATGATTTTGCATCACACAGGACGGAAACTTTGACAATTTCTGTTGAAAATATCAAATCATGGTGATGTGTCTATTTGTAATTCTCTAATTCTTCCTGCAATTCTCTTCTAATGCATATTCTGAAAATATTGAGCCAATGTATACAACGAATAGAAGAATGGTTGGCTCAAAATAGGAGAAAATGCAACACTGTGTTAAACCAGAATTTTGCTTTGTTTATATTTCAAACAAGTGCAGTTTTCTGACCTTACCCGGTATACACGAAATATGATTTTGTAAACACTCTCCACAGAAAGTTCACTTCGGCGTTCATGTTTGTGTATTTTCCAAAACATTCTAAACGATTCTAAAATACCGTCTGAAATGCTAGAAAACTGCTTTTCTGGCTTCATTTAATAAATACGAGTCATAGGACTATAAAAAGAGCATATATCAAAATAATGCAAATTGCCCTAATCTAGCCTGTCCTAACTGACACTGTGATTACCCTTAAAATGTATTTTTACAGGTAAAATGATGATCAACTTAGAAAATATTCGTGTGTTGTCATGCATGTATGAAATGGCCTATAACCTGAGGTAATTACCTAACACATGTCCCTAGGTGATGACCTGCATTATATTTGCTTGGAAACATGATGGACTAGTTAAGAGCTATGAAACGGGATGAGTATTGGAAGGTTGCGGTTTTGTAATCCAGAAGTATTTGTTGTTCTACAGATGATTTCTTGAGGTAACATTTATCTCCACTGATGACGTATATGAATCTGTACTTTTTAATGTTGTGTTAGGTCTTGCCATGAACCCTTTACACTCAGCCAAGATGGACACAACATGGTTGAGCTCGCAATGTGTGACTGGCGTACGTAAGACAACGTGACCGTGCAGCCAGCACATATGTCCTGTACTTTACATTCTGATTCAAGGGACGTTATATTAACTGGCGTTATCTATGACAATGACACTGACATTATTTAAAATGTGCAATAGCTGAAGTTCCAAACAGTCTATG